TGAATGAGGAGACTGAGGCCCGTAATTGACATGAGTAGACAGACACACAGCTTGCTCTGAACCTTTCCGTCAGCCACTTAACAGATGCAGAATGACACGGACATTGTGGGGTGCTGAAGTGGGTACATCAGAGGAACATGTATTCATGTAAAAGTTCGGCTCCACTTCAGCTCATTTCTAAGCGTCCAGCGGCCTCCTAAGAATGAAAATCTTTCCCAGCTGCATTAGACATTTTTCTTAGATCTGTCTTTTGTACCAGGGGAAAAACACAACACTTGTAAATTGCTCTAAAGGAAACATTACTTAACATCCCGTAAGTGTCTCCTGGCAGTGATAGCCTTCCTGTTAGTGGAAAGGAACTTCAGGGCGAAGAATTTGCCAGAACAACGGGAGGGAATACATGCGGCCATCTTTCCAAACGATTTGTCCTCTTTTCGGTACAGGTGGCTGGCCAGGCAACATAGTCTGGAGTTCGAAGATGTCCAGCTTGGCATTCTGTTCCTGAGCTGGTCGGACCAGGAAGGCCGGGGCAACGCACTCATTCGCACACACATGCAAAAGCAAGAGGGCTTGCCCCAGAGTTCCAATGCCAAAAAATACAGTTTCCTGGAGATTTAAATACTATCAATAACTCCAAGAAGTTCCTTTCTCTGAGTTCCATGTTTCACTGGTGAACTTCTTATGCTGATTAACTCCTTAGACTGATTCTTATGTTTGCGTCAGGGATCAGATTCCATCTTCTAATCCCACTAGAACCTCCTGTCTCATGTCTGTGCTTCTATCCCGGATCTTTCCTGTACACTTGAATTGGCATGCTGGGTATCATGCCAGCTGTCGGCTGCCCCCTAAAGGTCCGTGTGCTTCAGAAGTAAACTGTTCTCACGATCCCCTTCCACAGGACTCCAGGCCCAATCAACTGCTTCCAGAAGTTTGCCCAGGATAATCCAGTTTATGTCTCCTGTCCCAGAATTAATCATAGCATACTCTGCAATGCTCAAGAATTTGGATGGCAAATCACATTTCACCCAAGCTACTTCCATCAAAGCCATTGGAACTTCCATTCCAAGTCAACCAGACTCAAAACCGCTGACCCTAGCTCTGCTGCTAAACCCGACACAGCGGAATCTCCCTGCAGAATGCCCCTCGAGCCTCGGTTTTACAGTCCCAGTCACACTCACTGAGCCCTTATTCTGGGACCACTAATAATTCAGACTCCCTGGCATCTCTCCCTCTCCGTTTAGGCTCTCAAAGTCTTCATTCATTCAATATACACTTGGGTGCCTCCTGCATGCACTCACCGTCCCAGGCGTTGGGGCTCCAACGATGCATGGCCAATGATCATGTAAAAAACACTTAAATGACAATATAGGACAGCCAGATAGTGATTCAGGGAGAAGTCTTAAGGTGTCTTGTGATAAAATGGCAATTTTTTTTTAAGCACTGTGAGCAGCAGAAACGGGGACAGATACTTGTACACCAAAGTTCATTGCAGTGTTAGTCACTAAGGCCGAAGGGTGGAAACAATCCATGGACAAATAGCTGAACAAAATGTGGTATATCCATGTAATGGAATATTACTCAGCCAGAAAAAGTAATGTTCTCGTACATGTTACAACACGGAGGAACCCTTAAAACACACTAAACTAAGCAAAAGAAGCCGATCACAAGAGTACAAATAATTGTATGATTCTCTTTATATGGAATACCTAGAAATCCAGACAAAAAGTAGATTAGAGGTTACCAAGGGCTTGGGGGGCGGGGAATGGAGAGATACTGCTTTATGGGTAGTTTGTTTGGAGTGATGAAAAAGACCTGGAATTAGATAATGGTGATGGCTGAACATTATGACCGTAATTAATGTCAATAGATTAAAGTGGAAAATTTTGTTATAAAAATTAATAATAGGCTAAAAAACATTGAATTGTACACTTTATACTGGCTGGGTAACCGGTTGTTTACAGTGTCGTCCTAATACACCATGGTTGTCGGTTCGATCCCCAGCCAGGGCACATACAAGAATCAGCTAATGAATGAATGCATACATAAATGGAACAACAAATCGATGTTTTTTAATCTCTCTCTCTCCCTCTCTAAAAATCAATTAACAACATTTTTTAAAGCCCTTGAGAGCCAAGCGCAGAGACTGTGCAATGGAGCAGAAAAAGTGATGGATGAGAATAGCGGTGGGTAAAAGCGTGCCCGAGTGTGGACCATCTGTCGAGTCCTTTGTGCTGCTAATAAAGTACAGTTTCAACTTCCAAGCCTGACCCTGGCTCTCAAAAACGTGGGGCGATACCTCCTGCTAGGAAAGTTTCTTCCCCATCAGGTCCTTTGCCCCCTAGTTTCCCTCACGTCAGGCTCAGTCACGGCACATAGCTGGCTCGATTTACCCCGTTCCCATGTAGCCTGTCTAACTAACTTGGCCCACTTGTTCTGGTGAGCTCAGGTAGTTCCCGTGCCGCCTTCGCTAATCTTTTCCAGCCGACCTCAGTGTTAACTGCCCGCTCTCTGGGCCTCTACAGCACTGGGCAGTCACATCCATCTTCCCGTGTGTCTCAGTTTCTATCTTGAGGGACACATTTCTCATCAGATGGCTGAGGTCCTGGACAACAGAGTTCACACTTATATTTCTAGAACATCCTTCCAACGGCTGGCACAGCAGAAGGAACAGCGCAATCTCCTGACCTTGTTGCCTGAATGTGTTACTAAAAGTAGCAACGGAGCGAAGTGACCATCTTATGGGCCAGCCCTGAATTCGGAAAGACTCGGCTTAAACTGTCATTTCTGCCAACTTCCAGATGTCTGGTAGTATATTATCCATATGTCATTTATATTAATTATATTATTACAGCAAGTTATTTTTAATTTTATTTAAATTGTTGCAGTACAATTTTCTTTTACTCCCATCCCAACCCACCCACCCAACCCTCCCCTTCTCCCTCCCATTTCCACCCAGCAAGTTATAATTTAATTTCTGAAGGCCTCGCTTCTTCACCTGGTGAAGAGGTGTCTACCAGCGTCTGCCACCAAGGTTCTTGCAAGGGTGAAATAGGACGAACAATGTGCAGTGTGAGCACACTGCCAGGTCACCTATAAATCAGAGCCGCGGCGCTAAACCAAAGTGGAAAGTCACGATTGATGTTTTATCTCAAAATCAACACGGAACAGATGTGGCCCTAATGTTCCACTCTGCTAATGGAATGGTCCTCCAAACTTCTGTCAACAACATGAAGGGAGGAACAAACCAAATGGCTTTTGGACACAGTTCCAAACCTTTTACTCAAGTCTTCAGTACTAGCAGTTGTGGAGAAAAGGAAAAGGCAGAATAAAACAATCCTCATAAATCTTGTTTTGAGTCTTCCTATGGACTGTAATCTTTCAACACATGACAGTAATGGGTGGCATATTAAAATGGTAAATATAAACCGGATGCTTAAGGAAAAAGAGCAAGGTGACTGTTGTCCTAGTCTGTTTTGGGCTAATAAATTTTTTTCTAGAATTTGATTTCCCATCTATGAAAAGCTTTTCCCCCTGGTTATGAGGCTAGCACGTATTTGAGTGAATTACAGTGTGCATGACCTAGCCCATACAAGTCTTTGTAATCATTCCTGCCTCAAGAAAGTCACTGTTAAGGGTCTGATGTACGTACACACACAGTTTTTCCTAGAGTACGTACAATTAAATAAACACGGGTGGAATCAGATTAAATACTACCCACAATGGTTTTTTTAATAAGGCATCTTTCCATGACATGACAGGTAGAACCTCTTTTTTAATGGCTGCATATTTCATTTTTTGGATGTAGCATAACTTACTTATCCAATTCTCTATTTAAAAACCACATTATTTCCAGGTGTGTGCGTGTGTGTTTCAGCATTCAACAATGCTTGCACTGGAGTGGCTGGATCAAAAAGAATGAGCATTTAAAACTGTTACACCATTTTAAAAAGATACAACCGCAAAACAAGTCAAAATAAGTCTTACAGTTCTCACTAAATTGCTTTCCCTAAAAAGTTGTACCTGGTAACAACCCTCTTTTAATGTCAGCATTGTGTTGAATGAAGCTGTACTTTCAAATCCATGACGTTATACTTCTTGTGTAATTTGTTTTAAATCCTTTGGAAACTGTTCCCTTGGGTGCATTAAAAAAAGGGAACACCTCCATTACACAGGAAGTGTTTGAGAGGCCAAGCTCCGGCCCCCACTGTGTGTGCTCCCCCTGCTGGCACTAACGGAACAGGCACCACAGAGAGCTGGTTTCTAGCACAAAGGCTCCACAAGTTTTTAAAAACCACGTTTGTTAAAAACAAACGTCTAATCTTTATGAATCACTGTGGCTTTTTTTACTTCCTTTCTGACATGTCTCTCAGAGCCTGTAACAGAAGTTCAACCCAAACACCCAGAATGTGACTTGAGGTAAGGTATTATAAAACAAAACCACCCAAAAAACACTCTCTTGGTTTCAAGACCGTCTTTCTTGCATCTGCAGTATGTTTTTTTTTTCCCCAATCCTCACCCAGGGACATGCTTATTGATTTCAGAGAGAGGGGAGGGAAGGGAGAGAAACTCTGATTGGCTGCCTCTCGTACACGTCTCCACGGGCCACCGAACCCTCAAGCTGGGCTTGTGCCCTGACTGGGAAGGGACCCCGCAACCTTTTGGTTTAGGGGACGCCGCTCCGACCCACTGCGCCACACCGGCCAGCGATACAGAGTGCGTTTGGACATGCTCATACTCCTGAGTACGCGAAATGTGGTACTTAGGTCGTAATTCAGATCAGATGCTCAAGAGCATTTAACTCGCACATTAAAATTACACGTTAACCCATAAGGCCAAAATGGCAACCCGAGTTGACCGAGCATCAGGGTAAACTCCAGTTTTTATCAGTGGCAAGGGCTGCTAGACTTTGCATATATGCTAAAAACCGCTGAATTGTACACTTTAAAAGGGTGAGTGTTATCTCTCGAAAAAGTTTAAATGAATGCCAAAGATAAGCAATGTTTTCCTGACATAAAATGTTAGAAATTTCTTTATTATTACTTATTAAGCACCAGCTTAATACTGCAGAAAATTTCAAATCACCCCTTGACAACTCATTCTCCCCACCCCCAAATGCTTGATAATGAGCTTTTCAAATAAAGGCATGTTCTCTTCTCTCTTCTGTATAAAACTTTATGAAACAGACAAAGAACTGTGTACATCTTGCTGTGAAATGCAGCCCTCGGCTGTGGATACAGCGTCTGCCCGGGCTCTCTTCACTGTCCAGGTCCCGAGAGACTCTTGTTCATGAACTGTCTCTTCACAAAGCAAGTCCACCACTAACAAGAGGGGACAAAACAGAATGAGCAGTGGCAGTCAACTCACAATGCAAGTTCAAGGTTAAGGACGGAATGTGAATTTGTTTAAAACAAATTTTAATATTAGACTGGCAGCCCTTATGTTATACACACTCCTTGAAAGCACATGTAAAAATTTCTTCCTTTTTTATTTTTGTTGACCTAAAGGTTACTCAAAATTACAAGGACAAGATAGATGTAATATATTCAAGATATCTCAAGCAACAAAACCCATGTTCTATGGGGCTTTCGGTGTCTCGACATAAGAACAACCAACCCGAATTTTTTATTACATGCAATCACTATTCACTGTGATTCGGTGAATTCCTACTGTGTGCAAGGCACACACCCACAAGCTTAGCAACACTGCAACGCAGAAACTAACAGTATTCTTGCAATGAAAGACCTTTGTGCATTTCATTTAATGGAAACTATAGGATGCAAGGTGATTTATCAACTGAATAGCAAAGAGGGTCTTACCTTGCTGGGTTTATCATTCTGAGGGTCAAAAACTTTCTCACAAAGCCGCAGTCCAGTCTCTTGCCTTAGCTGCTGTAAATAGGCCCTCATCACTTCTAAAATAAGGAGCAGGAAGAATACAAAGAAGGTGTCTTTGAGAATGCATCGCAAATGTGCTCGCTGTTGATCTGGGCACTGACCTTTGCATTCACACAGGGTAAGAAATAGAAACGCCAGTCTGAAGGGATCTCTCCACGCCATACTGTTACCAAGACTCTCGTGTGAGAGTGGCTATAAGACAGTACGTGTGCTAATGATTCCATTCTCAATTATATACCATTCAAGGCAAGAAGAGCAGGGGGGAATATATCAAACGGAGAAAACCTCGTGCTACATAAAGAGAGGGAGAGACCCTGTTCTTACCGTCTTCCTGTTTGTTCGCAGGTTTGGCATAAATTGCATTAAGTGGAAAACCAGGCTCTCCAGGAATGGGAAAATTAGTGATTCCCAGTGTATACATTTCTTTCTCGCCTTGGCTTTTGGAATTGCACTAAAAAAAAAAAAAATCATATATACACATGTATTTTACAGGGAGAAGGATAATAATATCCAATTTGCAATGTTTTAGTCTAAGCTGGCTATGGCTGGGGTTCGTATTTTTGATGACCTTTTGTAATCTGGTGAAGCCTGCGGCTCCCTTCTCAGAATCATGTTTTCCAATGAATAAAATAAAATACATAGAATTACAAAAAAAAAACAATTATAGTGAAATAGAAAATTATAGTATTAAAAAACCAAATTTATGATACAGTCATACACATGCTTCTTTATTCATACACTAAACACAAGATCTTGCACTGGCTGAAATAACTATAATTCTGAAGTAGTAATAAGTGTACACAAAGTTGCAAAAAATCTACTCTAAATGCAACGTGAAATGCTGTGAGTTCTATTGGAGAAAAAGTCACAGGTATTGCTAATACAACTGTGGGTTCTTGTCCACGTTAATAATGAAAGTACTAAATTCCAGTTAGAGGTTGGTGAAAAGAAAGATGGAATCTTTTCCCTCTCAAGTTCATGGACCCTTGAATTCTACCCTTGGCCTCCAAGTTAAGAATCTCTGACCAAAGGCTTAAAAGGAATATTCTGCTCAAGATTTCTGTCTTGGGAAAATACATGCAAAGCCTTACCCTCTGATTAACTGACAACGCTGTAAGTTTAGAGATCTACATTCAGAGTTTCCTCTTAAGTCCATGCTGTGTGTCAGTGGAGATATGTCCTACTTGCCCTTAAAGCCCCACCAAGTCCAAATACCTATTAGTAATTTGTTTTCCTGACAGATGATCATCCAAGTTTAATTACCTTTTGGAGCCTCTTCAGACACTCAGAAATGTAGAGCGTTACATATATCAAGGTTCTATCAGCTTCATTCTACAGGGTAGAAAAACAAAACTTAAAAACAGTCCTGAACAAAACACAACCATGTGCAATTAATGAATTCAACCTTTGTCTTTTGCTTATCGGCTGAAAACTATGAAAAGTGTCGTTTATACAGCACCAGAAATCCCCGTTCTCCAAATGCAACCTTCTCCAGCCCCCTTCTGTCTGCCCTGGGCTGGGCGGCGCTCCTGCTGTCCTCAGCTCCTCCGGCTGCGGGGCTCCCCGGGCGCTGTGCCAGCAGCCCCTCACTCCGCGTGGGAAGCAGAGTTCCCAGAGCCGCCGGGGAAACCTGAGGTGCACCATATGGTGGCTGGCTCATTTTTAAAAAGCCTTTCACTTCAGGATCTCTGCCGAGAACAGAAACATCCATGACTCTAAAAGAGGAAGCAATTATTTCTCAGGTGACTTGTTTTTGAAGCGCTCCATAAGCTCAACGCTTAACCTCACCAAAAGGGACATGTGGACAAGGCCAATGGGTGCTGATGGAACTCGGCATGTACTTCCTGTCAGATTTTACGCAGATTTATAGTCTGAAAAAACAAGCTATGCATTTCCCTACGTTTAAGATCATGTGATATTCAAAAGAGAATGAAAATGGCAGAATTATAACATTTATTCACACCTATTACAAACACAACACTTGGACCATGGACCCAGAAAACACTCTGCTCATCTCGGAGAAAGTTCAGACTATAGTTTGGAGACCAAGAGTCGACAAACACGGATTTCGCACCCTGTTTGACTCCCAAAGGTCCAAGTTCGGCAGGAAGTTCCATATTCCAGAATGTTAACCATAAAATGTGTTGACATTTCTTGTAACCTGCTCACAGCGGGAGCTCGGAAACCTTTTCCCATTTCCCCATCTCCTCCCGCCGCACCTTCCCCGCGGCCTCATTCCTGCCAGGGACTAAGACAAGGGGAGGAAGGGTGCTGCTGGTAGGAAGGACCGGGTCACTGAAGTTTCTTCATTTCACCATCTCTGGTCCAGGACACAGAAGTATATAAAAAAGCAACATAGCATATAGGATTTCCAGTTTTGGATGGGCACATAGTAGGTGCTTAATTCATGCTGAATACAGAACAAAGGACCAGATAATAAATATTTCAGGCTCTGCAGGCTATACGGTTTTTATCACGACTACTCAACGTGGCTGCTGGGGTGTGAAAGCCTCCACAGGCAACCTGCCCACAGACTGTGTGGCTGTGTTCAAACCACACTTTAGTTACAGGAAGAGGAGATGGGCCGGCTTTGGCCCTCTGGCTGTCGTCTGCCGACCTGGTGCAGACTTCGGAGGAAGAAAACGAGACATGAATATTGACGTAGAGCCTCACATTAAGTGCTGCTCTGGATTTTTAAAAGCATGCAGTCTCATTCCACTCACTCCTCAGAGCAGCCCTGACTGCCAAGAGGGATGTTTTCCCTGTCAGAAAGTTAATTAAATATGAAAAGCTCTGTACTTTACCTTAATTTCATAGTTTTTGAAGAAGACATTGGCCTTGAAGTAATAGATGGCTTCATCCACAATATCTGTATCTTTTGCTAAGAAGGACACAAGGGGAGGGGGCGGAGAACATTAGCTTAATGCAAAACACAACATCTACAAAAGCTATAAATAAGAAAAGTATCTACAGTCAATGGTCAAGAGTTTTGGAGTTGAAGGAAATGAGACTACTGAAATATAATGTCTTTAGAAACAACTTCTAAAAAAGTAAGTACATGATTCATTCTTATATTGGATTGACCAAAAAGTTCGTTTGGTTTTCTCCATACAATGGCTCTGGTAGTGCCGTTGTTGTCTTGAACCTCATTTGAAACAATTTTGTTAGATTGTACTGTGACAGCTGTCATATCAGTGTGCACTTAAAAAAAAACAACCAAAAACCCTATCAAGCCCTGGCTGGTGTGGCTCAGTGGATTGACTGCAGGCCTGAGAACTGAAAGGCTATTGGTTCGATTCCCAGTCAGGGCACGTGCCTGGGTTGCAGGGCAGGTCCCCAGTTGGGCGCGTGTGAGAAGCAACCCATGCACACCAGTGTTTCTCCTCTTCTTCTCCCTCTTTCTAAAAATAAATAAATACATTCTTAATAAAAAAAAAAACACTGATCAAAATTGGTGAATTTTTGTGTAGCCATTTAGTATTGAACATGGAACAAGATACGCAACATTTTCAGTGTATTACGCTTTACTATTTCAAGAAAGGTAAAAACGCAACTGAAACACACAAAGAAGATTTGCGCCATGTATGGAGAAGGTCTTGTGACTACTGAACGTGTCAAAAGTGGTTTGTGAAGCTTCTTGGTCCTACTGACACTTGAACCAAAGAACTCTTTGCTCCGGGGCTGTCTTACGCACTGGACGGTGTTTAGCAGCGCCCCTGGCCTCTACCCACTGGTAGCCAACAGTCGGAGACAGCTCACATACTCAAAATATCCAAATCGATAAAGTTATTGGTGAAAATAAAAATGTGTCTTTTACTTTACAAAAAACCATATGGACTTTTTGACCAACCCAACAGCTTTAGTATTTTTACAAAAATTATACATGCTCATTAGAAAAATTATGTAATCAATACCAAAATATTTTCAACCGTCACCCTAGTCTCACTCCCCCAGAATGACTACTATTGATGAATATCATTCAAAATGACCACGTTTGATGAATGTCATTCCAGACATCTCCTAGTGCGTTTACAGGAGATACAGACTAAACTTTGACAAAATGATTTTAAAAGTATTCAATATAATTTTATTTGAATTTATATACTATAGTTTTCAGAGAACAAAAACTCTCAACTATCATTTTGGAACCCACTGAGGTTCTCATACATAACTTTCTGTTTATATAAAAACTACGACTTCGAATATATTTACACAAGCTGTTCTAGGTGGCTAGAGGCTGAAAAAAGCCAGAAATACTGTGGCGACAAAGACAGATCTCATTACACAATTTCTTTGGCAATTTTCCCCGTTTTTTATTTTAAAAAGGTCACAATCCCAGGGTCTCGGTATCCGGCAGCTGGTTTCAGCAACACAGAGACAGTTAGTTATGTTTCTCATCCATCACTGCTGTCCCTCTCACACAGCAGAAATGCACAGCAAGCCTGCACTGCTAATGCTCTGTAATTCCCTTCCACGTACCCCTGCTCGTGCCTCTGCTACAGAATTTCAGCGGAATCTGAACTCTAGACTTGTGTTCCTTGCCATCTTTTTTCTGAGTTGCAAAAAGGAAACTTCTTCGAAGGACTCAACAGTGGTTACAAAAACCAGCTTGTTCTTTCAAATGTCGCCCTAGGTGCATGTGTGGTGAGGAGGCTGCAGGATTCAGAACCTACAAGGGTGTCTGGCACGTAAAAGGGGTTCAAAAGGTATCTGTTGGAGGCAAATAATTGGATGACTGCCAACAATTTTTTAGCCCCCAGCCAAGGTTTACACTTTTCCATAATTCCAGTTCTGTTCTAATCCAGTCCCCCGGGGAAGAGTAACAGGTCATTCTCTGTCTGTAGAAACCCCCAGAGAATTGTAAAGGTGGTGGTTAGGATTACTCTGTGGCCAACTGCATGTTTGGATACACCACACGGTATTCTGCAAAGGCCTGAAAAGGGTTCTTCTCAATGAATCTGCACCAACATTGACTCATTTTTTTCTTTGCACTGGGATTCTTTTGCGTCATCTGTCTTCCTTTTGGCCTGCTCCCCCCGCCCCCAGCTGTTCCTTTTTCTTCAGAATCAGGTAAAGACTGTGGTGACTCACCAGATTTATTAAGTTTACTGAGCTTTCAACTGGTGTTGGAAACAAAATTAGATTTTAAAAGGTCAAGTCAAACAGTCTGGCAGAGGGATGGAGATGGCCTCGGCACAAAATTGGTAATTAAAACCTTGGCCTTGGACACCGTGAATGGAACTCGGTGCGGACCCTCTCTGGAGGCAGGGAAACCATGCCCAACATGATGCAAAGTACCCTGTTGGCAGGGTGTCTCAGAATGTGTCAGAGGAGTCTCAGATAGTGTCTGAAAGAACGGAGCTTTCTGAACAGTATTTTTAAAAAGGCTCTGAAATAAAGAGAGAAAATGAGTACCCAGAAAGAAAGCCAAGATATAAACTCAGTATTAGTAGTGTTATATAGGATGCTTAAGATTTAAGACGAAGGTAGTATTGCTGAAAGTGAAGCTCCTGCCCCGGCCAGGTGACTCAGCTGGCTGGAGCGTCATCCTGTACACCAAAAGGTTGTGGGTTCGATCCCCAGTCAGGGAGCGTGCAGAAAGCAACCAAGAGACGTTTCTCTCTCCACTGATGTTTTTCTCCCTCTCCCTTCCTCTCTCTCTAATAATGAAAAAAAACCCTTGGGTAAGGATTAAAAAAAAATTAAATGAAGCTCTTGAAGAATGGCTAAAGTAGATTTAGATGGGCAAGAGGTTAAAACATGTTTTGTTTTTTTCCAGCCTGATAACAGAGAAGGGGTGGGGGGGGACATGGCATTCAACAGAAGGAGTAGCACTGGTTTGTAAGAACTGACTGTGATGACAGAAACAGTGTCAAGACTTTTTAAAAAGATTTTACTTATTGTCAGAGAGAGGGGAATGGAGGGAGAAAGAAAGGGAAAAGCATCAAAGTGCGAGAGAAACAGCAACTGGTTGCCTTTTGCACGCCCCTAACTGGGGACCTGACCCACAGCCCTGATGGGAATGGTGTCCGGAGACCTTTTGGTTTGTGCGACAAGGCTCAAACCGCCGCGCCACACCAGTCGGGGCCGGGGTCAAGCACGTTTTCTCTCACCCCTCAACAAAATACCCTGGGGAATTAACAGCAATACATTTCCTATTAGATGCCACCTATACCCACGCCCTTGAAAGGTCTAAAGAGCAATGCCCTACCACGCAAAGAGAAACAGAAAACACAAGAGCACCCAGAGGCAGAAGACTGAGCTACGGATTCCCCTGACTTGATAATGTCAGAGGGTTGCCAGATGTCCCAGAGCGACACCTGAGAATAACGGGAAGGGGTTTAGACTCACTCTCTCTAGGGGCGGGTCCTTTGAACTGACTCCTGATTGGCAGCAGTGCCATGTTGCCGACGAGTCTGGTGTCGGGGTCCATGAGGGAGGAGTGGTAAGCCTGCAGGGGCAAGCCGGGCAAGGGCACAAAGCAGAAAAGAACAGATGTCAGCGGCGCAGACGAGTGCATTTCTCCAAAGGAGTAAAAGAGGAACCCACCCAACATCAACCATGGGACGCGGCAAAAGGGATGGTGGCAGCCGTGCGCGGACTGGCTCTTACCGGCTCACGGCAACCAACGGGGAGATTTTTAGGAATTAAAAAAATGTTGAGCCAAGCTGCTTGTGGAACACAACCAGTATTAAAAATTAAATTATAGACACTTGCGATCAATTATATTGAAAATGAAAGTAGTACAGACTCAAAATTCATCACTTCCTTTTTAAAAAATTATTTTACTATTGTCTCTGATCTTCAAGTTATTTGTGTCTTTTGTATTTTTATGGCAGAAATACTATATAATGGGGTGCTACTTTGCATCTCCGTCATGCTCGGTGAGGTCACACTGGTAACTGGCGGAAGTACCCACACGACAGAAATAGGCCAACACCATATAAACCGGGGTACCCGCCCATCGGCTGTTGTTAAGCCAGAACCCGAGCACTGGCTTTTCAGTTCTGCCCCTTCCTGGCTTTATATCTGAGACATCACTTTTCTTGCCTTATTTCCAAATTTGTAAAATGAGGATATATATCCTGCTTTCAGTGGGTTGATGGGAGTTAGAGGATGCGGGGCGGGGGGGGGGATCACATTTATGAAAGCAATTTCTGTATGATTCCTAGCCCTGCCTTTTACAAAATGCCTGGGTTTTTGTAAGACAGCAGGGCCCCATTCATACATTCATACATTCATTCATTCACCAAACGATTACTTAGCACCTAAGTGCAAGGCATGGCGATCTGAAGGCAGGCAAGACCAGTATGGTCCTCATCCCTGAGGAACTTTCGGGCCAATGGAGAAGACAGGTATTCGTAAGTAATGGCACGGAAAGTCCAGGGTGCTTGCTCTATGCCCAGCTGGGATGAGCACAGGGTTGCAGAGTCACTGGGTCAGTGTGGGGGTTAAATGGGATAATTTATATAAAGCATGTAGCTCAGGGCCTGCCTGGCACACATCAGGTGTCACATGGTAGCTACGGGACTCGTAACATATGTACCCATAACCATGGCTTGCGCCGTTTATCACAGGTATGCTTAGGCAGCCTCCACCCTCCCCTCCACCAGCTACCGTCTTGTTTCCCCATCTGTTTCCTTCATAGCATGTCGCTATCAGAAATATCTCCTTTATTTTAATTACATGTACACGTTAATTGTCTGCCTCCCCATTAGAATGTAAACTCCCTAGGAGCAGCGACTTGCTGGCCGTATTCACTGCTCTAACAGTGCTGAGCATGCAGCAGGTGCTCAGTAATGTCTGTTGTTTGAATAATCCATGTTACTGAACGTCCTTTTCCCTATTCTGCAACATGGAGGCCAACCATGATGACGTAAGTGTACCCCGCAGGCTGGCTGTCAGAAATTAAGAGAAAGCCGACCACCACCACCAATTTTACTTCTACTCTGAGGCACAATAAAATAGAAACGTTTGGAAACCAGGCGCAGATCCTGAGCTTGCGCTGGGGGCCCGAAGCCCAGTGGCTGTGGGGTGGCCGTCACTGCGGGGGCCACAGGGGAGGAAGTGGGTCTCACAGATGACCAGAAGCGGAAGGGGCCCGCCCCCTGGGGCGGTGGAGGAAGTGGGGCTTCAGAAAAACGGAGAAGCCGGACCCTCGACTTGAAAAATGAAAAATGAAAAATAAAAAGCGCAGCCCTTGGCTTCGCGGCTCTACTGAGGCTTTGGGGACCCAGCCGGAGTCAGAGGCTGCCAAAAGGGCAAAGATGGGGTCGGAACTGGAGAGAAGGGGCCGGAAGGGCTGAGGCAGCCTCTTCTGCACGCCCACTCTGGAGTCTTCTGCTGCCCCCCCGGCCCCCGCGGCCGACATCCCCAGACCTCCCCAATCCTACCAGAACCGGCCCCCTCCCCTCTTCCCTTCTCTGGACCTCGCTTCCTCTCTGACCACCTTGGCCCGCTTCTCTCAGCGCACGCACGATTCCTCGCCGCTCTCCCCAATTCTCGCGGTCACAACACACCCCTGACTCGGACCCCTTACCGGCATCCTTGCGGCCACCGAGTTTCAACCCAGAGGAGCAGGAGCAGGTTAGACAGAAGCGCTTCCGGTCTGGCAGCTTGGGTGCGGTAGGAGGAAGTGAGCCGGGGGGAGGGTGAGGGGAGGGACAGCGCTTCCGGCCTGTTCCGCCACTGGCTGCTGCGGCTGCGCGAACCGAGGGGGGCGCCAGGGGGCGCGCCAGCACTAGCTAGGGGGTTGCGTCCCGTGTGCGCGTGCGCGAGGCGTGCAGCTGGCGATGGATCTTGGGGTTACAAAACCCGTAGGAGCATTCTTGGGGCCACACTATTGTAAACTCAACTCGACTCCATGCCCATAGCTTATCTGCCCTTCCCTTTTACGATTCTTTTACTTAGTTAACTTTTGATATTTATCTCTCCATTCATGTGAACGTCAAAGGCAGGGATTTTTGTCGCTTTCGTTCACTACTGTATCCCCGGTCTAAAATAATGATGGTACATAAGTTTCAATAAATATTTGCTAAGTGAATGAATGCACCCAACCCACTGGTTTCTAAAATGGGGAAAGGACAGCACACTAAGGGATCTGTGCATTCATTCCTCTATACTGCTGTTCTTTGTGCAATGGTTGAAGAAAATGGACTGTGGGTTTGAATTCCAGCTCCAACACTTACTGGCTGTGTAATTTTGGGGTAGTTAATGAACCTCTCTGCATCAGTTGCCTCCCCTGGAAATGGAGATGACAGTACTTAACTCAGTTTGGTGAGGATGAATGAATTGCATGTAAGAGGCTTAGAATTTACATGCCTAGAACATCTGAGGCTCAGGAATTTTTAATCTCATACTAGAAAATGCCTCATGTTAAGAGCCAAGTTCATTGATGCTTTGGGCCGTTTCTTTGACTGGAGTACTTCATCCCCTCTTCCACAACTGATTTCTTATTTCGGTTTCTGGCCAAACAGCACCTTATAGGAGGAGTCTTCTTTGACAATGAGCCCAAAGTAGCCTATCACTCTCCCTTTCATTAGTTTCTTCTTCCCATTCCTTTATCAGAGGTTTCCTTGTTTATGGCTAGTCTCCAGGACCCAGCAGGTCAGCTCCCTGAGAATAAGGTCTTGTCTTCTGTCCTGCGCGCTCCCATTTTATCCCCAGTGCCTGACACCCACCAGTAAATTGAATCACGTCAGGCTCTCCTATGTGGGAGAGTTTACTAATTCAAAAATTTGCCCTGGCTGTTTCAAATTCTGAATGGAGAACAAGAGTGTAATAAGAAGTCAGTGTTGTTTATTTTACTTATATACATATATCTTAAAACATAGTAATGTTTCATTTTTTAATTATACAAACAATACATTTTCAACATGGGAAAATTGAAAGACAAATAAATAATGGTCTTATTTATACCCTTACAGAGTTTTACCTATGGACACACACATGTATATTTTGTTACAATAATTCCTGCCCATGGGAAAAAAAAAACCTTTGAAATATAACAAAAGCCAAACAGAAAAAAATAAAGGTAGCCTGGTCCTAACTACCACAGGCGCTAATTTACATTATATACAAATCGATGTGCATTCATTTCAATTTCAACTTTTAAAATCTAAATTGATGCTGTAAAAATATAACACTAAAGGATTCCACTTTAAACAGCAGCAGTTTCAGAATAACTATGAACTTGATTCAGCTGTGCTGTGGATAAAGAGCCACGTATTACTTTTTTCATGAAAATAAGCAGCTTTCTAGTATTACGTCCTTTGAGAAAAATGTTTTGCTGGTTCAGCCACAAACTCTCTTCACATATATAGTTACTTTTTAAATAAACTCTTTATTCTTTCTGGTGCTCTTGAAAATATTCATCAAACATGGAAGACGACTCATCTTCATGTTCCTAACACAAAGGAAACAAAATTGAAAGTACATTGATTTCCCCAGTTACACCTAGTACGTGTTTACGTATTTTTCAGGTAATTCTCTATGAGGAGCTGACGCCCCAGCACCAGCTCCGGGTGGTGTGCACAGGTTAACAGTTAACAATAACGGAAGGCACGACCAGTAGATGATCTCCAGATATGTGATCAGTGAGAGGGCTTGGATCTCACTAGAAGCAGTTCTCACGTGAGCTGGCGCTCACTCTGACTCTCAACTACTTTGCTGTGCCAGTGCTCCCCCGACAACTCTCGTTAGTCTTTTCCCCGACATATGTGAGGGCAGCCCAAGTTCAGTTGGGTTTCACCTCCTCTTTGCACCTACCCCAAGCTCTGAGTACAGAGAGGCACAACTCAGTAACGGTGCCTCAGTAAAAGGTAGCGCCAAACTGATACTGCTCTTTAAGCTCAGGTGTCAATCTGAGAGATCACCCAGAAAAGCCCAGGATATGGCCAGCACTAGGACAGAACTTAATTTGAGTTCCTGGGATGATGCAGGAGACCAAGAAATGCTGGCAAACATTTTTACCAAAAGTCAATCAACACCCTAAACCAAATTACCTTCGGTTCTTTAAATTCCAAGTCTTCTCCATACTGAATGGCAAAATCGATATGCTGTAGCACAATGTTCATGCTCTCTTCGTCCGACTGATCGTACGGCAGGAACCGAACCATGCTGTAGTCGTCAATCTGTGAGTTGCGGATTTCAGAAAGGCTCATGATGAAATTATGCAAAACGCTTAACTTTTAACTACACTGGACTTTTATAACCACTTACAACGATTAAACCATTTGTGGTGGGGGGGTAGTAATAGACACACACAGAACAGAAAATCGATATTAATTTTTCTGATCTGACTTACTAGAATACTCAACTGACTACTTAACTAGATGCTGTTTCATAGGGATTCCTCTGAATTCAACAACCACTGGAAATTTCAACAGGGCACGGACAGTTCTGAACCCCCAAAATGGCTCGGAATAATGGACATGTCAGTTACTTTACTGGCTGTTGCCAATAACTGCTTCTACATCAAACCGCTGACTGGCCAGCGCACAGCCTCTCACCACCATCTCCCCTTTGCAAGGAAACAGGGGTGGACTGTGTTTTCCATAATGGTGGTCACTGACTGGACACTGGTGAACACCTGACCAGATCATTTAAAAAAAAAAAATCTCAAAACAACTTAAGAAGCTTACCAGTCCACATATAGCTTTAGTCAATTTTTTGAATTTTTTGCTTCTTAAGTCACTTGTAGAGTCCTCTAATAAAGAATACATGTCTGGATCTAGAAACCTTTAAAAGTGAGAAAGAGACAGATGAGTAAAAGGAAAAATGAATCGGGAAACTGGATTTACAGGTGCACAGAACCTCACATGTAAGTAAGGCTTAGAGGGTTCACCTCTGCAATTCGGACCTGGTGATAATGGAAGGCGTGAACTTACTTCTCAATTTCCTTCTTAGCCTTCTTACTCAGCAGGTCCATTTTCGTCATGATGTTAACTTGTGGGATTTCTAGAGAGATCATAGCACTCAGAGCTGCCAAGATGCCAGAAATGAACTAAAGGAGGAAACAGGGAAGGGAAGATGACATCAACCAGTGCCAACAAAATCCCCCAGTCTCCGTGTGCAAGAGAGGCTTCCGCTCCCCTCAGAGCAAGACTGGCCTTCGTGGAACAAACGCCCATCCTAAAGGACAGACAGTCCAACAGTCCGCTGGCTGACCCTTGGCTTCCAAACGCGTGGGGAAAAAAGATGTAAATTTAATCTATGGGGTTCACAAACCTCAATTTAGATGATAACTTTAACCTTCTTTCCCACTGACAATTCCTCACGAGTTATTTATTAATGAGAAATAAAGTTTTAGACAGTTCATAGCCCTGGCCGGGGAGCTCAGTTGGTTAGAGCATTGTCTAAACACGCCAAGGTTGCAGGTTTGATCCCTGGGCAGGGGATCATACAAGAATCAAGCAATGAATACGTAAATAAGTGAAACAACAAATTGATGTTTCTCTCTCTTCTCCTTTCTGTCTAAAAATCAGTAAGTTAAAAAAATTAGGTAGTTCATAAACGAGATAAATGATCCTCAGAAAATTAGAAGCATATATAATGTGCACCGGCTTCATTTTTCCTGGTAAGTAGTTATCCAAAACCTATCTATTATAATTTATCATCCCAGTGAAAAATACATTATAATAACTTAATAGTAAGGGATACTACGTAACCCTAGAGTACGGTTTGTGAAACGCCCAGAACGGCACAATGACTGAAGGAGACTGTCATCTGCTCGCACCCACGACTGAAATATCGGCCACAGATCATCCTCCAACCTTGAACGACTCCACCATGAACTGGGAATCGACCAGGAAGACTCCGCAGACTCGGAACTCCCACTGTTCCAGCTGCTGGACCAGCTGCTTCATCACGGGCAGGTGCGTATACAACTCAATCTGACCTGCGTAGAGATCATCACAAGACCCTTACAATCAGGAAATACATTAAATCATCAAATTACAGGAAAAAAACGTTCCCCAAAAATGGTTTTAAAAACACATATTCTGTTTTAAGGAGCCTTATAGTCTCCTGACTCAATCACAAGACCATGAGGTTCATCACACTTTAGCTTTTGCCCATCAGAAGCAAGTGCTTCAGAGGTGTGTGTAGTGTGGGAATCCTGGTCAAGCGGTGCACTTGGTATCTGCACTTTTCTGTGGGTGGGTGTACGTTCCATGAAAAGCAAAGGGATTCTGACTGGTGTGGCTCAGTGGGTTGGGTGCTGTTCTGCAAAGCAAAAAGTCATCAGGTGGATTCCTGGGCAGGGTACGTGTTTGGGAATGCATGGGTCCAGGTCCTAAATAAAATCTAAATAGAAGCAAAGGGAAAAAGTAAGAGCCACAAATGATCAAAGCTAGGTGAAGCTCAAGTCTAACACTTACAATTTGGCTTCCGAAGTCACGTGCGATGATCTGCCCCCTGCCAGCCTCAGTCCCCAAGTTTCCCCTTTGCGCACTGGGCGCTTCGGCCATGCTGGCCTTTTTGGTGCCTCAGACTTACCTCTTCCTGCCCCTGGGCCTGCGACACGCTGTGCCTGCCGCCTGGACCACAGTCTCCCTCCCCTTCACCCTATGGCGCAGCCTACAGGCCGCCAGACCAGAAGCCTCCCCTAACCTCCCTGCTGCGTGGTGATGGGCTGTCTGCTCCTGCGGGGCGCATGTCACAGATGAAGAGTAAATAGTCATTGTGGTGGCTTTTGTTTATACTGTCTAGCACTGACCCTTGACTGTGAGCTCCCTGAGGGCGTAGACCCTGGTGGCCTGGCTCTCTGCGGTATTCCCAGGGTACAAAGTCGAGCACGCAATAAACTCAATGGACGAACGAGAGAGCCAGCGAGTAAGAGCTTCATACCTCACTGCAGGGTGTGGAGTTCAGAGCTACAAAGGCTCACTCCACCTTCCCCCACTGAGGACAGAACCAGCGTGACGTCAAGGCAAACAACACCTTCAAATTTCTGACCCACCTGGACAGTCAAAAAGGATGTAGTCGTCCTCTACGTGGCCGAGGCAGCTCTCTAGCCAGTCAAAATTATTGGCAAAGTACTCCATGCAAAATACCAATCCTCCATTGGGACCGAACCGCAGAGAATCGTCCTCCATGACGTCATCCACTTCGATCAGTTCCCGGATGTCTGAAAAAGATAGGCAGGACCCACGATAGAGGAGTGTCCACTTGAAAGTTATTGTCCTCACTGGTGACAGTTAACAATTAGAGAGAAACTCACATGTATGACTTTATTTCTGTACATGGCTGCTCACTCCAGTAGTGTCTGTGGAACTAAGTTATCACACAGCCAGACTGTAAGAATGTCACTGCTTGTGTTTACAAGCAAGGCAGAGACTCACGACGCTATATACACAGTAATGCACATTTTGATTTTACGTGCATGGGTTCTCTACGGAAAGACAGCCCAGAGACTGGCAACTGGCTGCGTCCTGGGAGGGGAGCCGACTGCTGGGACACAGCTGAGAGGGAGACTTGACTTTTTTGCACCTTTTGCATTTTGAGCCATGTAAACATACAACACCTATAGCACAACAAGTAAAACCAAGCCAAGAAAACCAACGATTACTGCTTAACACGAAGAACCCAGGGAAGCTACTTAACCTCCCTGTGCCAACAGCTCCACGCCCCCAACTTCCCGGCTGCATCTGACATAACCAACCACCATCGCTTTCTTGAAACATTCTCTCCTCCTGGCTTTTGTGATGCAATGTTCTCCTGACCTTTAATTTTTTTAAAGGTTTTATTTTATTTTTTAGAGAGAAGGGAAGAAAGGAAACATCAGTGTGAGAGAGAAGCACGGATCTGTTGCCTCTCATACACCCCCCACCGGGGACCTGGCCCACAACCCAGGCACTTACCTTGACGGGGAATCAAACCAGCGACCTTTCAATTCACAGGTCAGTGCTCAATCCACTGAGCCACACCAGCCAGGGCTGTCCTGACTTTTTTGCTACCTCACTGACTTCACCTCCTCTACCCAGCCTCTGAAGATGAGACGACTTCCAGGCTTGGTCTTGGTTGAGCATACCATGTCCCGACATGATCTCATCCAGTCCTGCTCCATCTCTATGCTGCTGGCCCTCAAATTTATGTCTTCAGGTCTGACCTCATCCCCGAACCCCAAACTATCATATCCAATCAGCTTCCTGATGTTGCCTCTTGATATCTATCAGACATCTCGAACTTAGTAAGTGCAGAGAAAACTGCCCCAAACCTAAACCAGCTCCTGATCATTTCTTTCTTTCACTTATTATTCTTTTTCTGGAATACCCTTTCCCATTTCTAGGCTGCCCAGTGACCTTCACGTCCCCTCATCCTGGAAGGCCTTTCCCCAGCCTGGTGAGCACATTACACCTTCAGGTCTGGGCCCAACACCATCCCGGCCTACACCGAAAGCAATCTCCCTAGTTACTCCCTCTCCTCAGCCGACAGGCAGTCCTTATCTCAAAATCTGTAAACGGGTGACTGCTGCTTATCTCCCCCACTAAAGGGTACATGAAGGCAGGTATAGTTATGTGTTGTTCCACAGGCATCTGAATGAATATAGTAAAAGAATTAAAACCCACGTAGGTGGCTCACTCAGAGTATGAGCAGCAGTAAACCAGACTCACGGCAGTGGCACCAAGCATGAAAGGGGCCGAAGGGAAAGGTGGGGGAGGAAGGCATCTACTCACTTCTGCTTCATACATACGAGACCGAGAAAGGATACTGTCACACACATCAACAAAAGTGGATGTCATCAAATGACATTTCAACTCATGCTGTTCACCGTGAAACCAGGGGACCGGCTGTAATAATTTTTCTGCTTCGGGGCTGAGCGGCCAGCACCCTGTGCCTCCTCACCCCCTCATTTTCCCCACAGGAGCGGGAAGGCTCTGCTCAGGACTCACCGGCCATTACGGAGTAGTTGAAGTGTTCTGCTGCGGGATCAAGGTTCACGACTTGAACGGACCGGTTGAGGGCTTCACAGTGCTGGACCATGGTGGCACAGTAGGTGCTCTGCAGGGGCACAAGGCACAAGGGGTCAGGGCAACAGTACTGTCTGTCATACCCCAGGATGACTCTCTCCGCCCCTCGGGCAGTGCCCAGTAAGGACAAAACTCGGCCCTCCTCGACCAAGAAGCTGAATGAAAACAGAAAAGGCACTGAGCTGGGAGTCAAGACGCCTGACTGGCTGCGGATCCAGCCAGGCTGTGACTCAGGGGTAACTTTGGGGTACAGCTTCTCCACTCTGCCCCTCTATTTTCTCATCTGTATCTGGGTTGACCTCCACGACCCATAAGGCTCCCTACCGCTCTCCCATGCAACAAGCAGAATTAAAGAGACTATTTCCGGTCACATACTGCAGCACCCACCACGTGGAGTCTCCACTAGGACCTGCATCGTCCAAACAGAGCTGCAGGCAGGGCGGTCAGCGATGATGCGTCTGAGGAGGGGATGCTGGAGCAGAGGAAGGGGAATGTGCTTGCCAAGCCAGAGGAAGAGCATTCCAAGGAGAGGGAACACCGAGGTCGATAAACAGTACGGAGGTGGGCTATGGGTTCGCAACTTTTGGTTTAGAGAGTCCTTTATCACTCCGGTAGCTGTGATCACACTGTGTTAAAACCTCTCGGCTACCTGTCTTCTCTCCCACCCTCTATGTGAAGGGAGCGATGTGTTGTATTCAGTTTTGTAAGTCTAGGGACTAGCATAGAACCTGGTACATAATAAAATGCTTGGTAATAACTTCTCACTGACCGACTTCATGTTTGATTCTAAACTCCACAAGAGTACAGATGTCTGGGTGCTTTGTTCAACAACACAGTCCTCCGGGCCCAGGACAGTGCTTGGCACAGAGATCAGGCTCAGTGAGATTTTCTGACAGCTCAGCATCAAAAATGTATAGAAAGATAATTTCTAATATGATCAGTTTGAAAAGCAATCTAGAAAATAGAAATAACCTCCATCTGGCTCTCTCATCAGTGACTTTACTCATACATGTTGGGTAGGCAAGCCCCATATCACGGCCACACGTATGTACAGCTCCCGTACCCAGATTAGAGCAAACCTCAGAACAATGTGTTAATTTAAAGACTGAAGCTACCCAGCATCCCCACAGACTTGAGTGTTTCCCACACTCTGGTTATTTGACATCTTCACCATCTCTACCACATTTGAAGGCCTCTAATATTATTCCCTTAATATTTGTTTACAAGAAAAAAAAATTGTGTCCCTCTTGTAAACAGAAAACCAGCTGTATTTATCCGAACACGAAGGTAACCATGAAACTGAATGAAACTTTAGAACCTTTTTGATCTAGATAAATATAAATGCCTGTCAAAAGCTGTGAGGCTAAGATCTGAAAAGGCTTGGGGATTTAAATAAGTGTCGAAGAAACACAAGCATCAAACCGACAACTTCACCTCATTGCAAACTGCAGACAATCGAGAAGGGAGCAACTTTTTCAATACGTGATTCAATGTACATTCATGTCAGGCCCATGCCCCCTCCTAAAATCGCTCAAATACCAGAAGTCTATGTTTCAAGGTCTGAGAAACAGTGATTAAGGAGACCCCTGGCAGCTAGACAGGGCCAGATTCGGTAATTAGACAAAACTGAATTTCAGACGCCATTTAACTAGCCGTGATCCTGGGCAAAGAACCTCTATGTCTCCTTTTTCTGTAAAATGGAAATAATAGGACTTATCAGAGGGTTGTTGTTGAAATAAACGAAGCGTTCAGCGCGGTAGCTGGGGGATATACACAATAAACATTAGCAACTATCATTACTCCTTTTCAAAACAACAGGAGCCTGAAGCCCAGGCTACAGAAGCGAGCTGCTAGGGTCTCAAGATCCCTCCGCGGGAGCCGGCCTCCCGGCCTCCCACGAACTCCGATGTTTCCCTCTTTCATCTGCCAAATCCTCACCTTCCCGCTGCCTGCCGGGCCCATGACCAGCTGCGCATACCGAGGCATGTCTGCGCCCCCGGGGCCTCCCGCCGCAGAACCACTAGTGCGAGCCAGACGGCCACGCTCCCTCCAGCCTTCGCGCAACGCCCCGAGTTCCGGAAACACGAAGTGCGGACCAATCACAACCCAAAATCCGTTCTGTGTCCCGTTCTGCCCACCCCTCCGACTACGGAGCCTCCCGCAGGTCAAATCCCGAGTGAAACGCGTCCTGAGAAAACCGCGGGAAACGGGGGGAAGTTGAGCGCGTGCACAGAAGTATTAACAACTGGCGGAAGCCGGCCGTTAGGAGACCGGCGAAGCCTTCTTACTTTGGTGGTAACTGTTAACGGATAACGGATAATACTCAGCATTCCTGCGCCGGGTGCTTTGGTCTTTGGTTTGCGTACTGATGTTGGACCTACACGGTGACACTCAAGATTTGCAGATTTGCTGAGGGTCCGGAATACTGAGGTGGAAGGCACCTCCTGTTTAAGGGGGCATGTATATTTCCTTTCCGTGACGCATCCGTTCCACAAAAAGATGCAAACGTGCCAACGCGCAGTCAACTAAAAAAAACAAAAACAAAAACAAAAAACCCACCCCTCTCCCAATTTAACTCCGGGATCGTGGATCTGCCCTTTCAGCTCTCCCGAAGCTATTCGGACGGTGTCCGGGGAGCACCGGAGGGGGCTAGAATCTGGCGCCCTCCTCTTCACCCTCAAGATCATCCGACCTGACGCACGCGTGCTAATCCTGGAGGGAAAGAAGGGACAGCTTTTCTCGCACACAGCTCGCGATCCGGGCACCCGGGACGAGATGCCCGGCCAGGGTCCGGTGCCCACCAAGACGTACTGCTGCTCTTCCGCAGAGCCACCTGCAGGGGCCAGGACCGAGGGTGGTGACAGCGGGTGAGGCTGCGGAGCCCTAACGGGTTAGGGAGGACGGCGACCGGCCCCGCGGCGCGATGCCCCTGGTAGAGGAGTGGGTGGGAGGTGGCTGCTCCAAGCGACTGGTCCCCAGTGCACTGAAGCGAGAGGCGGGGAGAACCTTTGTTGTGGCCCGGATGGGAAATATGGAAGCCAACTCATTGTTTAAGGGAAGGGCTTCTGAGGAGGTGTGTTTGTGGCAATGACCAGGCGGTGACTGCGACAGTCGCCTGCATGCATTTTTCTGCCCCGAGGGGGGCGCAGCAAAACCTGCTGGAAAAATTGCGGTCTGGCCACCGGACCTCCACGGAACCCCGGGCGACGGAGATCGCGAGACTGCTGCAGAGTCCCCTGCTCAACCCAGGGCTAACCAAATAAATCAGTTCCCTGAGTGTGACTTTAGCCACCTTTATGTCAAGTGAGGATTCATAATCGTCAATGAAACAGATGACTATGAAGATTAGAGACATTTGATCTTGACATGTTCTTCATGCAGAAGTTTCTTTCTTCATAAGCCTACTTTATTTTGAGCAGGTTTTTACTATTATTTCCCGGATGCGGAAGACAATTGGTTGCTGAAGTCCCTGCAGAAGGCAGTACCCCCTCCTCCCTCTCATCGGTCATTCCCGAGCTGTTCCTCTCGGTTCAGCTCATAGCCCTGGCTCCGGCCTTTTTTTTTTAAATATGTGGCCTTTGTTTCTTTTCTGTTCATCACTGTGCTTAGTGAAGTGCTGGATCCTAGTATATTAGGAGATAAATGAACTCTTGCTCATTGGATAGATTGAAGGAGGAAGGAAGGGTGTGTTAATTTGAAAAAGGAAAAAAGAACTTGTACAAAATTAGAAACATTCTAAACTAAGTTCTAGTACACCTTAATTACATACAATAAATAACAAGATAGTCTTTTCCATAGCCAAACTACTTCTTTAAAAGTAAAGACAGCAAGAACATATTCTGGATAGCACAGAAGCCCAGACTACATTACTGAAATCAATGTAGGAATTACAGTAGGTTAGGCGGATATAAAAGTAAGACCAAACCTGGCTTAAAGTAAATCCTGTCTAATATGGAAAAAAAAAAAAAACCCTCAGATAACTCACTTTGAATAAGTCTGGAGCCATTAGGACATAACCAGAATTATAGGAGAAAATTTGCCAAACATTCTTTCTAATGAAAAGTATAAAGCATATGCAATGCTATTCTTTTTTTCATTTGAAATACTTTTTAATGCTTATAACACTGTCAGTTATTACCTATTATTTACACCCTTTCTTTCTTTTTTTTAACAGATCAGCTGGACATTCTTATTACCAGAATTCCAAAAGTACTGGTGAGTAGAGCATAGAAAGCAGATAATACCTATAAATGACATGGTTCAGAGAAGCCAATTTTGCTATAACTACTCACACAATGGAGTTTTAAAAATAGGTGTTATTAGTATCCCTTGGTGAACGTAGTCTTCAAGGTTGTTCAGAGAACAATCAGCAGGTTCTTTTCTCCCTTTAAGATATCGTACATCAAGCATTTTAAAAACAATATTTCAAAATGCCAATGAATCTGAGAGCTGTTTATAACTGATGTTGGTTGAGAAGCCCAGAGCACAGCCTGGGGTTTATACACAAGCTGACAAGAAAAAATTTTAATTGAACAACTTCAAAGAATGTAAAATATTTCTGAGTGCTGCTGTTTTCCTCTCTCTTGGAGTCAAGGATAGAGCTGCTGGAGTTAAGAGGGTTAGACCAGGCTATGATATGCGTCTCATAAATACTTATTATCAGGGACAAAAAATTATATTCCTAGATAATTAGCCCACATTTATGACTTGAGAATTTTAAAAAGTAAACTTTTGAAATGTTCACTTGATATTCACTTTATTGTTATAGTTTCTAAATTATGATTTAAGAGCCATAATACCAATTTCCTCATGATTTTCTATTTGTTGGCAAACTACTTAGCAATATTTGATTTGCCCAAGTCTGAAAGAAATAACTCAATTTGAAGTTTAATATGTAAAATTATAGTGGCCTTTGTTGTCAATAATATTGAAACAAAACCGTGCTTAAGTAATTTACTAAGTAAAAGCTTTTCACTGAAAGCCTGTTCCGCCAGCTTTATCTGGAACAGCCCAGATGTCCATCTACAGGTAGACGTAGCATCAGGTGGTGGTTTGTACGACATGCAATGGAATATAACCCAACAATAAAGACAAACTATTGTTATACTCACATGGATGGATTTCAAACTAATTTTGTTGAGTTAAAAAGCCAAACAAGATAAAACATCAATATATACTGTACATTTCCATTCGTATCAAACTCGAGAAAATGCAAACTAGTTTATAGTGATGGCACATCAGTTGGGGGAGGGGTGGGCAGAAGGGAAGCGTTACAAAGAGTTATTTCTTGATTAAATTTTGCCAGATATGGCCTTTCCCCCTGACTGCTACTGAAGTTTGCACCCTAAAGTAAGTTACTGGTCTCAATATGTCTGAAACTGAAAACTAGTTCCCATTCTTCTGGGAAGATGTCTCAACTTTCATTTTTATTGAAAGATTATCCTTCCAATCAGCCCACATCAGCATTTTAAACAATGTGATAACTGAAATTATGTAAAAATAGTGTTTATAAACTTCTGCAGAGCTCTTTATTTTAACACTGTCTCATTAAAGGGATTAAATTTGTATCATTCTATCTTGGGTATAATACAGAGTAGAATTTTTAAACTAAATACTAAAGTCAAATGAATGATAAAATTTTGTTATAAATCTTTAAAGTGCAAATCCTGCATGTATATTCCTGTTTAGTATGATCTGACATACAATAAACTAAAAAAAACATATGAGTTTGCATCTCAGCTGACTTCAAAATTATGTAGTCCATATATAATGATACATGTACAGGAAGTATATTGATAAATACCTTAGATTTTTGTGCTTTACAACCAAATGGCATAGCATATAGTCTCTTCGTATTTAACAGTGATTCATGTCACTACTCTAGAATAATCATTGACACATGCAAATACATAGATCTTAATAATTAATTTGCTGAACTGATCTTTCTCATGAAAGTCACACAATTAATGTCCTTGCCTACAGATGGAATCAAAGATGGGCACAAAATGAATTCCCACATAGTCAAGCTACAAGAGTTATGGAAAACTCCTCAAATTCAAACAATTGACATTCCTCAGTCAATTACAGATGTGTCCTTTCTAAAGGTATGCTAACTACCTACCAGTACTTTATTTAAATACCACTTGTCTTTGTATTGAGAGCTGAACTTGCTTTTTAAAAAGATTATATTTATTTTTAGAGTGAGGGGAAGGGAGGGAGAAAGAAAGGGAGAGAAACATCGATGAGTTGCCACTCATATGTGTCTCCGGGGACTGAAGCCGCAACCCAGGCCTGTGCCCTGACCCATAATCCAACTGCCAGTCTTTTGCTTTGTGCCCAATACCCACCCAAGTCACACCTGTCAGGGCGGGGCTGAACTTTTTGTTGAAGACAAGCTATTTAGAGCAATGATTTTGACCCTTTTTCATCTCATGGCACACACAAACTACTAAAAATTCTGCAGCACATCAAAAACTATACTTTTTGCCGATCTGACAAAAAATAAATAAGTATAATTTTGATTCATTCACACCAGATGGCTATTGCTTGTCTGACTGTTGTCAGTTTTTCATTTGGCAATCTAAAGGGAAACAGGCCAGTGGCCCTGACGACGTAGTCGGGTACTGCATGTTTTAAATGCTCCAGTGGCACACTGGTTGAAAATTGCTGACTTAGAGGGTAAGGCACTGCAGAAGACCAGTTGCACCCAGCATATTGTATAGGAGTCCATACGTATCTGTTGGGTAAACCCATGAATGAATGGATCATTATAGATTCCTTATCATAACAATAAGGGCTTTATGATATGTCAGATCCGATGTACCTTTGTGCAGGAAACTCAGTACTCCAAACATAAAGGAGGCTTACTAAAGATTTGTACCAACTGGTAAAGATTTTCTGGCCAACATTTTGAATTTTCCCTGGATTATTATCCATCCAGTTCAGGAAGTCCTGTGTGTGTATATATTGTTTGCATATATGCACATGTACTGGAATCGCGCATTTTAGGCAAGTGTTAACCTCTACAATCAGCAAGTACAGTGAAAATCTTAGTCGAAATTACTTCTATCAGAGACCATCAGACTACCCTGAAGTCTGCTCAATACAGTTTTTCTTCTGGTGCTAGAAGAGAGTGTTCCTTCAGAAAAAGTAGGAGTAATTGGGTTGCTTTTATATCCTACACTACATAGAGGGTGAGATGCCCACACTCAGAGAGCCACGTGGAATTAAGACTCCCTGACCTGGGGTGGTGAGCACACAGTACAATACACAGATGATGTGTGATAGAATTGTACACCTGAAACCTATATAATTTTCTTAACCAATGTCATCACAATAACTTCAGTTTTTAAAAAAGATGCGTCACACACACAAAAGGCTCACTGACAAAATAGCATATTCATATTTTCCTTATTCTTCTGGGGGCAGTAGTTCTCAAACCTCGCGGGGCACGTGAATCACTTGAGTGGAAATGGCAAGCAGAGTTACTTGTATTGTTTAAATGGCCATTGCTTTCTTTCTGTTTGGCCAAATTAACACAGTTGAATTTGCTTAAGTAAAACGTACAGATGGTGCAACTCTGCTGGACGTTCATCCTTTCAGATAAAAACCTTTGTAAGCCTTGCCCTCTCTTTCAGCATCCAGACCTCACCACGTGCCAGGAGCGCTACCTGTGCGGCATCGCTAAGGTCTGTAACGTGAACTACCTGAGGGTGTTAATGAAGAGGCAGTACATGCACATGGTCCAGCGCAACTCTCAAAAGCCAGGCAGGTGCCCCCGCCGTTAGTTTCTGACGAGTCGTCACAAGAGATGAGAGGGTCTTCTAACGGAGGTGCTTTGTATGACAGGTGTCCTCACTCATCACAGGAGCCGCCTCAGTTCCCGTCCCTTGCAGAGGCAGCATCACCCCTGCACTACATGGCGACACCAGCTGGATAGAGAGGACTCGGGGCCTTCCAACACTGCAGCTGCCCCTGCACCTGCAAAACAGCATTCCCTTTGGCGACCAGTGAGAAACAAAGGAGGGTCTGTTTCTTATTGTTTAAAAGGAGGAAAATGTACCTAATTTTATTTGGAGGGTAGCTCAATGATATGAAAGCTCGGGATCCCTATTATGTTCACTTTGCTAAGTTCAGAATAGGTTGGACAAAAAGCGCAAAAGGATATCTTACAGTCACTTTACTGAGCTGACTGGGATATGCCACATCTTTTAGAACTTATTTTGTGGAATTACCAACATTTCTTGACCAGCTGGAGATATGGAAGACCGCCCTTTGCAGTGATTCCCACTGAAATTCAAAGTAATACAAACACTTCCAAAAGCAGAAGGGTATGGTTGCTTCTGCACAGGGGAATACTATACACAAAAAGAGGGGAAAAGAGAGGTAAGCCTAATTATTCAACCTGCACAATAGTTAGCCTTGCATTTCAGGAGAATTTGGGGGCTGAACGGGTCTCTGGCGATGCTGGCAGCTTAATAGAGAGAGTTGGTGTGGTCTTCCACATGTATCAGGCAGCTGTTTACTCTGCAGGTTCCAATTAAGATGCCTCTCTTTCTTGTAGACTAAAAACTGGATATGTGTCTAAAACAAGATATAAGTCACTGAAGATTTTTAGAAAAACAGGAAGACTGTTCATGAAATCAGGTAAATGTGGAATTTAAAAATGCATTTTTAAACATCTTATGCTTAAAAAATATTAAACCCAATTTGGAGTCATTTTTATTACAGAAGGCGTTGAAAATTTAGAATGTGATTTGCTTGTATGGCTCCAAACAAAATTAAACATGAAATATATTTCTTCTCTCATTTAAAAGAACACACTGCTCAGAGGAGTAAGATTCAAGGTATTTCCAATTCTAAATAAAGATACAGGATCAAGGTCAGAGACTTCACAGAGAATTTATCGAAACCCAGATTCACAAAAACATGACTTTTTCAAGCCTTTGCATTCTCTTATGAAGTAGTGTCATTTTTGGATGGACAACATATTTTGTGTGGCATCAAATAAGGTACAAAGGGCTGTTACCACCGATACCATTTTAACAGTCAACAAACCAGGGGAGGCGCAAGCCAAGCAGGTGCCAGAGCAACTCAGAGCAACCCAGAGTCAGGAAGGATCCGCATACAGGGTCCTCCTGCCACCATCACAGACTACCACAAAATGAAAGAGACAGAAAGGAAGAAGGACCAAATGCTCAGAAGTGTTCCTCAGAATTGACAAAGTGGAAAGGATGAAGTGGAAGTAACTTTCTAGTTACTACCACAGTGAGCAGGGAAGGGGATAGCAAATGGGGAGGTCAGACCTTCTGAACTAGTACCCGGTTGCTGTGTGACAGCACCACTCAGCTCTGCTCTGCACGACATCCTTGGCCTATCCAAGAAGTGAGGGGAATGGCAGGGGTCAAGGTGAGTCTGGTTCCAAAAAGAGCAGCTGGAGGAAGCCCCAGGTAGGGGAAAGGTCCCTGTGGTCCCCAAGAGAGAGATGAGAAGGAAATTAAAGAACATGGAGAATGCTGAAACTAACTTCCCTCTAACCAGGAGTTCAAAAAGCAAAGGAAAAATAGGACTTAGAGAACTTGCTATATAACTTGGCTGGAATACAATAATGGGTATCTTATTTTAAAAAGTAAGAGATTTGGGGGAAGGGGGTGTTACTACGTTTTGAAAATTATAAGCAATCTGTTTCTGCTAAATGTTTATCAACAAGATAGGTCACTTTGAAGGTTGTTCTTATATACAAATTTCAGTTTTCAGGATGAAATAATTTTGTTTCCAACCCTTTTTTGTTGTCTTCAGTTTCTACAAATGATTTTGAATCATACATGAACGAAGACAAAAAGGAAGAGTCACTAAGTACATGTATGCAATCCATGTCAATTGAAGAACAGGGAGAACATCGGATGTCACCTTGATGAACTTGTGTATCGAAATGCCAAAGCTAGGGTAGGGGTTGTGAATTGTGTCCTCTGTCTGCCTTTAGGACAGTATTGTTATACACCATTAAGTCATTCAATAATTCTAGTTTGTTCAGAAACTTTTATAGCAATGTAATTGGTTTGATAAAGTTCTATGTTCCAATATTTGTGTAATAAAGTCTATGTGCAATAATGCTTTTATTTCTAGCTTGATACAATTAAAAATTTTGTCGCATAAATGGGATTATTTTTTCTTTAAATCTGATGAATACATTGAATAATTCTTTTTCTGTTTACAGTAAGTCCTAAAACAGCAACACTGGAATATTTGACAAGTATTTTCTTGATTGGGCTGAGGAAAAGTCTTGAAATATCCTAATAGAGCATAGTATTCAATAGAGATAACACCCTGGCTTGCAAAGAAGATGCTTAATAAACACTTGCTGCTTGAATACAACTTAAAAAGGGCAATTTTAATTTGCCTATTTTATGAAAATTGCCAAATGTTTGGCCTCTCACACTAGAGAGCAGAGAAAGAGGTCTTTGCATTCTTCTTCCCTTCTAAACATTAGTTTCAAAAAACTCTTCTTTGTTCAAACTTGAAAAGTAGGAATAGGGCAATTTTTTTAATGTTATTTACTTATTTTGAGAGAGGGGGGAAGGGAGGGACAAAGTGAGGGCGAGAAACCATGATGTAGATGCCTCTTGCACACCCCCAACAGAGGACCTGGGCCTGACATCCAGGCACATGCCCTGACTGGGAATCAAACCAGCAACCTTTCCGTTCACAGGCCAGCCCTCAATCCACTGAGCCACACCAGCCAGGGCAGGAACAGGGCAATGGAAAGCAGCAGTCTGAAGAATCTCTGCTGATTTGCTCTGTCCATATGGCATCTTATTCAGAAAGTGAAATCCGAGTTGAGAATTATGATTCAGAATGTTGTAAGAAACGAGAACGCTCTGAAAGGGCGTCTTGTCCATCTCATCACTTCAGTCCTTGTCCACAGTTTCATTTGATCTCTCATTTTCATGGTTTTTAAAAATCAGAGCAGTTTATCGACAAAGTGTAAATGAAACGTAGCTTTATTACTGGAGAAGAGAAAAATGTGTACAAGAAAGTCCAGATTTTTTCCTCATGCACTACTTTTATAATAAAGTCCTAAATATCAACTTTGAAGATATTTACAAGGATAAATTTTTCTTAATATGTGACCATTTACTGTGTGGTGGACATTTTTTCATAGAAATCATATACTTAAACTAAATAAATTCTTAATAGTTTACAAGAAGCTTAGAACATTGTATTAACAGAAGACGATGTTTTTACTGCAAAATATTATAAAAGTGATACAATTTTGTGGCTCTTAAATGTTTAATTACTTGATTTGAACAGGGGAATTAAAAAAAGAAAAAAAAAAAAACAAAAATCAAGACAGGCCGGGCTTTAAGATTTTTTGTATTCGATTCGTTCTACTTTCACATCATCTCCAATTAGCTGATACACATAAGTGACAACTGTAGAAGCCTGGATATCCATCAACACAAATGAAGGAATAATGTTTCTGGAAGAAAATATAAATACTGTCAGTGTTTTTTACTAAAAAGCAATAGCACTGTAAATTTCAATTTAAGATGACAATTTGGATTCCAGGAGAAATCTGGTTGTTACATATTAAAAATAATTATCACCAAAAAGGCTATAATTATTTAAATGTTTGCATTTTTAATGAAATATCACACATGCAATTATTAAATTTATAAAACCCCCAAATTCGCAAATTACATACTACTTACGTTTCCAAGGCATTATACGCTCCAGTGGCAGAACCTGGGTTAATGTAGAATTTATTTTCATGCTCAAATGCCTCAAATTTGTGTGTGTGTCCTGAGATAAGAATGTCCACATCGAACTGCCGCTGCAACAGGGCTAAGCTGGCCATATCTCCCCATGGAATAACCTGATGTCCATGGATCAAGCCAATTTTGAACTGCCCAACAGTCACAACTTTCTGTTCCGGGTAATTCAGATTCTAAAATACAAAATTGACATAAGGAAAGTAAGTTTTAGAGATACCGATGTTCAAAAATCCTGCCTTTATTTATTTTTTAAAAGCCCCACCTGAGGATGTGCTTATTGATTTTAGAGACAGAGGAAGGAAAGAGAGAGAGAAACACCGTGAGAGAGGAATGCGGATCAGATGCCTCCCGTACATGCCCCGACTGGGGACTGAACCCACAACATAGGTATGCGCCCTGATTGGGATCGAACCCACAACCTCTTGGTATACGGGACGATGTTCCAATTAATGGAGCCACCAGACCAGGGTGGAAAAAAACCAACCAACCTGTTTTTGAACATTTGATCTCATGGATTTTTTGCTCCACAACCAACATATTGATTAAATATCTGATTTCTTCTCAGTCTCTGAGGCCGTAACTAAGCTCAAAACATAACCAGAATTTCCATGCAGTCCCTTCTTGTGTTTATTTTTATAGAGCATAGATTACTGTGAGCATGCTGTAGAAAATAATTATTCCCCCAAATCTGTGAGTTCTTCTACCTAAGCATCCTAGGCATATGACCTATAAGCTACGGTGAGTTTAAATCATACTGCAGGCTGTAACAGTTATATAGATGGCTGAAAATGATGATAGTTAAAACACATAGTACTTAGTATGAATCACAAATTATTCTAAGGGCTTTATAAATGTCAACCTACCAAATACTTACAAAGAACCCTAAGAGGTAGGTTCTATTCTGACCCCCATTTCATGGATGGAAAAAAACTGAGGCATGGTTAAAGCTGAGGTTAAAATAACCTGAGGTTAACAACCATTACTAAGTTGTTAAGCCAAGATCCAAACTCTGGTACATGTTTCCAGGGTCTGTGACTTGAGCAAATTTATAGCAAAAATTTGAATTCTTGGTACTGAAACTGTCTTGAGCATAACACAAACAGAACCCCTAATGTTCTTAACAACCCAGACCCACATTCTCATCACTGACAAGAAGCTTGCCCCTTCCCTTCTCATCCCTGTGTCTTTCACCGCTGGGCCACGTCTAATTTGCTCAAACCTTTTAAAATCCACCGGGAAAAACCCAAAACCAACACTATGGTCATTCAGTTTGGTATAAAGGACCCCCACTAAAAAGTACCAATGAAGTTAAATAACTTATGAAAATGCTTGTATTTCTAAGAATCCTTCATAAATGTTTATACTAGAATCACCTTTATCATTCTAAATCATACAATGTTAATACTGGCAGGGGTCTTAGAAGTCATCTATTCCAATCATATTTACATAGAAGGGAACTAGGGCCAGAAAGGACATAATTTGCCTAGATTTTCCTTCTAATGAATGGGTAAAGTTGGAACCCCAGAATTTCTAACTTATTTCTTTAAATCAGGTTTACTGAGATATAACTTACATACAGTGAAACTGTCCTTTTTAGTGTACAAGTCAAGGGGTTTTGACAAATGCATACAGTCATGTCGGCACCACCACAGTCAAGATCTAGAACAGTTCTACGACCTCAACACTTCATCATCTCCCTTTAGTTAACACTCTGACAGAGAACCACGGCAGGGTTTTCAACAGATTAGTGAGCTGCTCTTCACGTTAAAAAGGTCACTCTGATTGCTACCTGGAGAACAAACTGTGGAGGGAGGAAGGGTAGAATCAGGAAGTTGGAATACAGGAAAGTGATATGGTGCTTGGAACAGAGTAGTACAGGTGGTAGCAATAAGTTCAAAACAAAACATTTATAAACAATGACAGTAGTATAAAAAACAGTGACAAAACCATCTTTGTGTTGATTTAGTTAGAACAAGTATTTAATATGTTTATCAAGCAGTCTGAAATCAGTGATTTTCACACAGGAAGGGGTATGCGTAGTAATTTTACATCTGGAAAATAAAAAAGGACCTTTCACAGTTGAGAAACTGGTCTAAAGGATAAAACTTTCTTGATAAATATCAAGAAAAGAAAATAATGGGCCTGGCTGTTGTGGCTCAGCGGATTGAGAGCCGGGCCTGCAAACCGAAAGGTCACCGGTTCAATTCCTGGTTAGGACACACGGCTGGGCTGTGGGCCAGGTCTCCAGTTGGGGACATGCAAGAGATAAGCGATGTTTCTCTTTCTCCCTCCCTTCTCCTCTCTCTAAAAATAAATAAAATCTTAAAAAAAAAAAAAAAAAGAACAGAAGAAAGAAAAGGAAATACTGGGAAGGAAAGGGAAATACATCACCTCGTCGAAGTCTCCTCTCACAATATGAACGTCACCGGCCAGAGTCTTGAGATAGTCATAGCTCTCTTTGGTGCAAAGGTTTCCAGTGCAGAGTATGTGCTGAATCTTCCCTGGCACCAGCAGTTTTTTGAACTTCGCTGGCAAACTGTTGCACCGGTGTGGGATGTGCAGGTCTCCTAATACCAACACCAACTTCAAAGTGTCAAGGTGAGACAGAGTGTAATGTTAAGCATGAGGTCAAAACAAGATACTTTCTTCTAGTAACTCCCATTTTAAATTAATCAGAGATTCCAGAACACGAAAGAGCGGAAGTTATTCATACAATTCCTTATCATGACCATTTAGACAAACGCACGTATCATGTATATAATAATGTATTCTGTTCTAAATCAATCTTTTTTAATTTGATCACAAATATGCTATACAATAAATATGTATCATTCTAGTAACCAAGAATAAAATCAAGCTTCCTAAAGAGATTCATTTACAGACCTATAAACTACACTGAATAACAAAATTGCAAAATGAAAATATATTACTGGGCCCTATGGAATTTGGAATTTTTGAAGACTGATATGGTAATGCATATTTCTGCAATTATAATGTAAAATAACATGTATTGATTCCAGGGACATTATTAAGAGAACTGTTAGAAATGTAATGATAGAGAAAAAAGGTAATTCTATACTTTATGTTTACTAGACTGATAACTATTTTAAGGAATAATAGCCAAAATATTTGCTACAATATTTGCTACTTAAAACTATTAGTTACACATTACAGAAGAATAAAAACAGCGTATGCTTCAAAAAGTTTCAATAGGGCAACTGTGTGCTTTTGAATTACAATCTTCATCTTCTCTTTCTTTCATTATTAGAAATCCTCACTGTCATATATTCATTGTCTAGATTAAATTGCTTATGTACTTTGTTTAATTTCCAAACTTAAAATAACATTTTCGCAATCTTTCATGTGCATTAGAGCATTAAAAAAGAGGTCAGTTAAACAAGTGATGAATTTAGCAAGAGGAACATAGTCTCAGATGATAAAAATTCTTAATCTATAAAATTTTAATTTTAGAGATCTTACATTTAAATTTTTTTTCAGTTATTTAACAGAATATTGTCAAAAAGCTCATTGAAAAATAATATCTGCTCTCCTGCCATGGCTGGTGTGGCTCAGTGGACTGAGTGCCAGCTTGTGAACTGAAGGGTCACAGGTTCGATTCCCAGTCAGGGCACATATCTGGGTTGTGGTCTGGGCCCCCAGTTGGGGGCATGCAAGAGGTACTTGATCAATGTATCTCTCACACTTGACCCTTCTCACCCTCCCTCTCTCTCTCCCTACCCATCTCTCTAAAAATAAATAAATAAAATCTTTAAAAAAAATCTGCCCTGACCAGTGTGGTTCAGTTGGTTGGGCATCAGCCCATAAAGCAAGAGGCAGCTGGTTTGCTTCCTGGTCAGAGCACAAGCCTGGGTTACAGGTTAGGTCCCTGTCAGGGTTCATATGAGAGCCAAAAATCAATGTTTCTCTCACATGATGTTCCTCACCCTCTCCTCTAAAAATAAATAAACGAAATCTTTAAAAAATAAAAATAAAAAGATCTGCCGTGCAAAGGACAACAATTTCCTCACGTTGATTAGTACAAGCACCTTCATCCTATGACAGCATGTTTCCCCACGCAGACGTCCCATTCATAAACGTACGTGCCCTTTCACTGCTTTTAAAAGAGGCACCATTGTTCCCTAATGTCAAAGAAAACATTAAATATCTAAAACAAGATAAAGCAGAAAATGGTGTTGTCACCACTGACTTTGTAAATTGAAATTAATAAAAAGCAAAATGTGTGAATTTAAAATTATTATTAAACCAAGCTTGACTGATCTGGCAACAAATATCAAAGGGATTACAAAGGGAAGGAATTGTTATCAGGAAGTAGAGTAACTGCAGTAAAATTAATGCACTTTAAAATAAATTGTTAAACAAGTTTCCTCTTTATAAAGAGTGTTCAGCTGAATTTGCTCAATGACTTAATACGGTTTCAATCCAGATAGATAAAACACCTGTAAAACTAAAAACCACCATGAAGTCTCCACCTTCATTGGTAATCAATACAAAAGTACCTGGAGACAGAACAATCTTCATCTTTAGAGGGGGATCCCTTCAAATATGGATTGAAGTACATAGTTAATGTGGAAAGCTGGTATTTGAGAAAAAGGTAAAAAGTAGATTTCTTTATTAAAAAAAGAAATAACAAACTCATAAACTCAAAAAGTAGATTTCTTTATTAAAAAAAGAAATCTCAAACTCATAAAAGGGTACATATCTGTATCAGGTTAAAAATGTCTGGGGCTAAAAACGAATGAGCTGTTCAATCTTAATGAACTAGAAAGAGCACTAGTAGGACATGATACTTTATCATGATTGACAACCTAAAATTCTCTAATGTACTGTGGATTATGCCCATGTGCCTAGACTATCAACATCCTAAAAATATATAACTGTATGAATGACCACACAGCAATTATTTCAGATTAGTAAGAATCCTAACTAGGGCTCTGGTTTCCTACAGGTGACAAGGTGATAGGGGAAATAATGTCACAAAACAAGTGTCATACTTTAAGGAGTGCCCTTGCCCAAATTCCACACTTTGATAATTCAGGTTAGACATAGCTTTTAAGAGAGCAAAAGATTCTGGAAATGGCAGTCTTGTTAAATTCAAATGAAGAACCAACCCAATCAAAGCATAGGAATTTGGTTATTTCCTATTTGACTAAGACTATAAAGGGGTGAAAATCCCAGTAATCAGACACCCAACCACCATTATTAGGAGGAGCTAAGAGAAGCAACTTACTCTGTGCCCAGCCTTAGTGGAATGAAGAAGTTGATTGCAGACAGGGGGAATGAAAAAAAAAAAGGGTGAAACATGACCAATGTTAAAAGAAAGCAACAAAAAGAAACAAACCAAAAAAAAGAACAAAAAACTTATATCAAATGAATATGCAAACAATTGTTAATGATTTTGGAGTGTTATGAAAGAAAATGTTAAAAATCAGCTTTGCTTAAACGTGACACATACACACACACACACACACACTTTTAATAAATTTTGCCTTGTCGATTTTTTTCCTAAACTTATTCTTCACATTGACTCGCATCCCTTTCATTTTCCCGTTTTGTTTAGAATTGTATAAGACAATTCAGAAAATTCAGCAGTCATGGCTTAAATGAAAGCTAACATTTTCCAGATTCTTATGGCTTATTTATTCCTCAAGTATATTGATTTTAATTATCTTACGTTAAAAATTCTGGTTGTAAAATTATGCTGCAGTTAGGTCATTATTTTGAATAGACGATCTAACACAACACTACAAATATCAAGCGATGAAGTCACCAAAGGTGATAAAAACAAACACATTCCTCCAGATGAAAATGGACCTTCCCCACACCGAAGTCTGCTGCCTGCAGACTCTTGGATACTACTAAGCGTTGAATGTTTCTACCTCCTTTGCCAAATAAAGTGCTTTTCATTATAAAAGAATCAGCTAATGCTAAATTTTGACCAGTTCTGTTGGACATGCCAGTGCAAGTACCCTCAAAAAGTGTTCACCTCTCAAAAAGCTCTTTAGAAACATGTCGGGAAATTCCTCCTTCTCCCAGGACTTACTATCTCAAAATTACTGTAAAAGGAATTGCTCTAAACTGCAAATTTGTTTATAAGCAAAAATCAAAAGCGAGATGAAAGCTTTTTACATTATATGCAGAAGCCTATATACCATAAATCTCTGTGAGGTCTATAAGCCACCTCAAAGGCTATGTTTGTCCTAGGCTTGTGATAATCTTAAAAATTTAATGGACACCCGTCAGAAATTCAAGTTCCTTTACAGTTAAGCCTCATCAGCACAAATACCAAGATAATCAGAGCTCCTTTGGAAAAACTGTTCTCAACTTTTTAAGGGGTCACGGGCACCTCTGATCACTGATTCCAGCTGTGAGCCCTCGCCAGTAGCAGCTCCCCGAGTTTTTCCGTAGGAAGGTCTTAGGCGCAGCAACCCATTGCGGGGAGAAGGTGACGGCCCGGCCCGTGGCAGGCGGGGCCAATCTGATGAATGAACCAAGTCAAGCTCCCCAAACTGCTCCGTGAGCGCCAACCCTGGCCCTTCACCCAGAAAGCCGTGCATATTCTCAAAATTTCCCAAACAATTTCAAGGAGTTCACAGACTGGTAAGGGACCCTACTCTAAAGGGAGGGGGGGGGGCGGCATCCTAGCTAAACCAGTGGTTCCAGCAATTCGAAGAGCCGAAAATGCAGTCCTTTGCGAACACACTGCCACAGTGCCATGGCAGCTGCACCTCGTTTCGGGGGCGAAAGGGATCGTTTTTATATCCCCTTTCCTTAGGTGCCAAACTGCACTGGGTGAGGGATCCTGCTCGCTACTTCCCGTTCCGAATCCGAGCAGCCAGCTTTCGCCAACGGGGGGTGGTAACGCGTCCACCCCAACCAGCGGGAGGTGCCTTTTGCGGGGAAGAAGTAGGGAAACGTCTGGAAACGCAGGGGAACCGTGCCCCTTTCTCGGGGACAGTCGAAGCACAGAGCCAAAGGCCTTTCCCGGCTTCGGCATGTGCGTCTCGAGACAGGACTAGGAGCAATGATGGGCCTCTCTCCCCCTAACAGGTCCTCTGGCGTCTTGGGCGGGGGTGCAAGGCCAGAGCCCGCTGCACCCAGACGTGGCCGTTCCCAGATCTCCCTTCCCACCCCCCCAGGGCCTTCCCCCCGGCCGGGCCTGGGCCCCGCCCGCCCAGGCCTCCGGGATCGCCCAAACCGTCGCCCAGGCACTCCCAGTGGCTCCCTACGACGCAGCCCCCCGGCGGAGGGCCAGGCCTCGGTCGCCGCAGCTGCCATCCTCACCATCCTGTCACTGGGCTCCGCTCAGCTACCACAACCGCCACCGCCCTCTTCCTCAGACTCCTCGGCGATCCGCCCACCGCACCCACAGCCAATAGGAAACGAAGACTGCAGAGACCTCTCTACGGTGGCCCGCAGAGGCCCTCCCCCGCTGTAAAGCAAAGCTGCTTTCGGGGAAAGAGGGGAAGTGGAGGGGAAGGGTGAGATCTCGTAGCTTCCAAAAGCTCGGGCCACATCCGGGAACCCGGGGCGTCGAGTTGAGGCGCACTTGGCGACCCGGCTGGTTAGGGCCTGCAGCCATGCTGAAGTGCGGGATGAACGGCAGCCAGGTTAAAGGTGGAGCAGCCTTTTTTCCTAGCTAGGGAGGAAGAGGGAAAGCCCGAAGTGCATGGGGGAGTTCCACCATCCGCACACTTCTTCCCAGTTGCTTTTATGCATCAGGGCTGAGGACACCAAAGTCTCCTCAGAGCCAGCGCGCTCCCCCATGGTCCCGGCCCGTGAGCTTCTGAGGGGAAGAAGAAGGCCCATGTGCTTCGATTTATGCACAATATTTATATTTTCATTGGTATCTAAGAAATCAAGTTGCACCATCGGGCGTCAAAATCGGGAAGATACTGCGTGGGGCGGACTCGGGGGGTAAAAAATAATGCTGGAACAGTTAAAAGTATTTTAGTGTCACGGGGAAAACACAAACCAGGTTTTTATCGTCGCCCCGCCATTTTTAAACGTACGACCCGGGACACGCCACTGAATCACGTTGGGGCTCAGTTTCTTCCTCACGCAGGTGACAAGCAGAGCATCCCTGTTGTGCGGATGAGATGGAAATGCACGCAAAGCGCTCCATAAGTGGGAGTGGACGGGGACGATGGTTACGCGTGGTGCTTGGAACACGCGTGGGGCTCCAGGGAGTCTGTGTTGAGAAAAGCGACTGAAACCTGACCACGATCACGGACAGGCGTGCTGTGTTGGGGCTGGCTTCCCCGGCGTCGAGGACGGCTTCGGAACCGGAAGTGCCCTTCGGCGGCGCGTCCCTCCCTTCCTAACGAGCAGGGATGTGCGTGCTTGTTTGCTCTCGCGGGCCTGGAAGCGCTGCGAGGGCGCGATCTCCCCCTTCCTTCTCCGTCCCTGGACCGCCATTGCCGCGCGCGCTGTGTTTGGGGCCATAGTCGACGCTCAATAAATAAACATTCCTTGGCTGGACGAAAGGCCTGCCCGAGGCAGCTCGGTGAAAAAGTAGTGAAATGGATGCGGTACCAAAGGACGTTGCCTCTAGCTTTTTGTTTTTCTTTTTTGTTACAAGGCCATCCGTTGTTCTCTCAGTTGGAGACCCACGCCGCCCAACTCCTGCTCCTAAAATTCATAAGCATTATCATCTGATGTCCTGGAATGATTTTTCCTTTTTTTCTCCTTTTCCATTGATTGATATTGCCATCCATTTTTTTTTTTTTATCGCAGCATAACATGCCGTATCTCTTTGCTACGCTTTTTTTTTTTTTCTCACTTCTTCGTAACTCAAGAACATGAAAGGGTCACACCCGATCAGACGGGATTTCACCCAGCCCTCGCCTCTGTTTCTGAAAGGACATCTAAGTGTGTGTGGTGGGGAGGTCCGACACCTTCCACACAACATCCGACATCAGACGTGCATCGTGTGTGCCTCCAATTTCTCTCCTCACTCGTTTCGACTTTGCCACGAGTCAAATTATTCAAACCCTTCAAACCAACCTCTCCATTTCTTGTTTTTACATTTTTTTTCTGGGGTGGGGGGAAAGACACAAGTTTTAAAATACGTTAGAACGAAAACTATACTTGAACAACAAATAAAATAAAATAAAATAAAATAAAATAAAATAAAATAAAATAAAATACATTAGTGCAGAAATTGGCTTGCCACGGTGGCTCCATGCCACGCTGCAAACAAACAGAAAGGAAGAATTCTGTTGCACGTTATCGTTTCACACACTCATTCTTCGAATTCATTGAACTGTTACTGTGAACCTGGCATTTTGCCAAGGGTATTATCACGGTATTTCTTACAGTAACTCGTAGTATTAGTCTATAAACACTGTTCTTTATGAATTTAAGTCCTGTGAATGCTGAAGTAGTCTTGTGATTTGTTTTTATTGTTCGAGAGAACGAATGTAAGCAGCAACTTTCTTTTTCTCCGTAGTATTCGGGAAAGCAATCCAAGCTCTGTCACGAATTAGTGACGAGCTGTGGCTAGACCCGTCCGAGAAAGGTGTAAGTACAAAAGTTAATTCAGACACTGTCTATTACCACAAAAGAGGTCTAGATTGTATGTTAACTAGGAAATCCAAAAATTGTAACTATCCCTTTCATTGTTCATCTTGATGGCGCATATCTGAATACATTTAAAGCAGCAATTTTTAACCTTTCTCATCTCGTGGCACATGTAAACTAATTACTAAAATTCTGTGGCATAACAAAAAATATATTTTTTGCCGATCCGACCGAAAAATAGGTATAATTTTGATTCATTCACACCGAATGGTTGTTCTCATGTTGGTTGTTGTCATTTTTTTTTTAATTTGACAATCTAAGGGAAAAGAGGTCAGTGCCCCTGAATAAATAGTCAAGTATTGCATGTTTTAAAAATTCTTGCAGCACACTGGTTGAAATTGCCAATTTAGAGCAGCATAGTAAACTTTAAAATCATGCAGATAAACACAATTTATTTAAATCAAAAGTCACAAACTGGTGGCCAAGAGGCTACATATAGCTTGTAGAAGTGTTTTCTGTGGATTGCACTGTGTTTTTTAAAGAATTGAAATAATTTCTAACAGTTAAAAATGGGGAGAGTCCACAAGAAAAATCTGAATTTCTTGCTTCTCTTGAAAACCCAGAAAAGGTCTGACAGTGTGGGGCCTTTATACCCAAGCAGAAGTAGTTGGCGGACACTAACAGTTGCTCTCTTTACACAAGGCCAGAGATCACCATTTTGCTGCGTTCTTTTTTCACTCCCTTTTATATTGCCTTCTGCCACTTCCTGTATTACAATTAAGACCCCTCTAGGCATTTGCCGTTTTACAGTTTCAACATGCAAGATTTTAGGTGTAATACCTATATGTATGCAATATAGATATGTAGACGTATGTATGTATATGCAGACTCAATATGCACTGAACGAATGCAATCCCTATAACATATATTATAATTCATATGGGCAATGCAGACATATAATGCAGTTATCATCTGATAGCATAATTTGAGTTCATTTAATTGCTATGTGAAACAAAATAGAATTTTTAAAATTAATCATTTAAAGAAGTTTGATTTTTTTCCCCCTAAATAGTTATTACTGTATTTTCCCAGCTTGCCTTAAGGTCTGTGAATTCTTGTCGGTCAGCGTATGGATGTGTCCTCTTCTCTCCGGTGTTTTTCCAAAATTACCAATGGTCAGCTGCTGTGGAAATGAAAGATAGAAACACAGTATCAAATTTAAATTGCAAATTGGGAATGAAGGTAAAAATACAAGTGGTCCTAGTTTTCTTTTCTATTGTGGAAATATTCAGTATATTTGACATAAAATCTATTTTGTATTTAATACTTGGTTTAATGCCATGTAGGACAAATGTGTTCATTTATAAATATACACACTCTTTTGTGTTAGTTTGTTAAACTAATTAAACAACCATATTGAGTGTGTGCTGTTCTATAATCTGTTTGTATTACAGTCACTTTTGCCCATCTTTAGATGTCCGAATTCCCTCGAAAGAAATGTCGAGATGTGCAAAATATTCACCAGATCTGATAAGTGCAAAGTAATTATTCAATTCTTCTGCAGATATGGTAGGTATAATTAAAACTAGTTTAAATGCATTGTGTGCTTTTGTTAATATTTTTTAAGTTTAGAGTATTCAAACCATATGCAATAATACAAGAGATCTCATTGCATTATTGCTTAGAATTTATGTAGTTTTGTGGTAGGAAAGCTGAAAGTACCTGAAAAGTATTATCTTACTTGACTTTGAAGAAGTATTGTGAGATGATTAGTAGTATTTCCCTTTTATACTTGTCAGTGACACAAACTTTACTTGCATACAAACCAATTATTATTTTTTAAGATTTTATGTATTTATTTTTAGAGAGAGGGGAAGGGAAGGAGAAAGAGAGGGAGAGAAACATCAGTGTATGGTTGCCTCTCATGAGCCTCCCATTGGGGACCTGGCCCGCAACCCAGGCATGTGCCCTGACTGGGAATTGAACCTGCAACGTTTTGATTTACAGGCCTGCGCTCAATCCACTGAGCCACATCAGCCAGGGTACAAACCAGTTTTTAAAATCCAGTTGCATTTAACCAGTTGGTTGTTCTCAAATTAACTGGCTGCTTGATATTCTGTAAGAGTGCCTTGGTAATGGTGTTCTTTGGTAAGAAAGAAAAGAATCATTCCCTCTAGGAGGCAGATAGTATTAGATCTGGGGCTGAAAGAAGTGTGGTGACTGGCCCAAGGTCACAGAAGTAGTAAATTGCAGAGCCTGGGTTAGAGTCCTGCCCCTCAATAGTAGGAGCCAAAACCTTCATTCATTCTCTCTGCCACACCAAGCTATAAAGCGGTTTTTCTGCCCCCCAGCCTTGCACAGTCTTTATTCAGATGTACTCATAGGACTTTTACATACTGAAATATGTACGGCCTGGTGCTTAACAGCGTGGGCTCTGGAGGCCATCGTGTCTAGGGGGGAATCCTGCTCTGCCCCTTCCTTACAGAGACCTTGGGCAAATCATTTACATTCCTACGTCTCAGTTTCCCAGTGTGTAAATTGGGGAAAATGTTAGTACTGACCTGCTAGGGTTTTTGCGAGGATCTATGAGTTCTAGGAAGTTATAATTCTAAACTGTTTAAAAATGTGCCTGGCACATTTTCTAAGTGTTAACTCTAGTTATATTTATTATGATTGCTGGTATTTTATTTGAAGTTGGCAGGTGGAATTTTATGCTTTAAAAAAATCTTATACTTGTGATATTGGTCCAAATCTTTCTTTTTGTAGTACGTGCTCAGTAAATATTTTTGAAATTAATAAATGTTGCTGTTATCACCTAAGTAAAAAAAAATAATAAGTTGAGAAATGTTATCGCTAGTGAGACCTTTAGATTCACACTGCTACATTATTATGCTGTAGAAGGTTCTAGCCCACGTGGATTTTATTACATGGGCTCTGTATTCAAATTTAGAATTAAATTCTAGCTATAAGGTAAGTCCCCACTTAACATCATTGACGGGCAAAATGATGGATAATGAAGCCAACTCTACCATAGGCTGATTAATGTAAACAAGATTTTAGTTCCTAAGGCATCTCATCAACATTGTAATGCAACGACTTTGAATGAAACATTGTTGGAAGACCTGCTGTACTTGTTAAAAGAGCATAGCCTTGAAAGGTCGTTCAGCCTCACCAAGCTATTGCTTCCTCTCCTGAGATTAAGTGCACACCCCGAAGGGATGTCGTGCGAGTCCCAGGTGAGGAATGTAAAATGTGTGCCGCAGTTCCCCGCACAAAGGGCAATAACATTCTTGCCACACACTTTTCCCCTCTTCCTCTCAGCGGAAAAGAATCCACAGGCCCCCGATGTTCAGCTTCATAATCCAAAGGTGCCATCCAGCAATATCGGTCCTGGATGCCAGGTACTGAAGGGGAGTCATAGATACCTGAGCTGCAGTGGGCAATCGATGTTTTACACACAATTTAAGAAATGACCTGTATTTCAAAAGAATGTGGGAACTCGACTGCCTGCTTGGTCAGAGGGTCTGACATGTTGCCTGGTGTCCACTAGGGGGCGATAAACACATCCACTAAGGCCGAGTGTTTCTCCACACTAGGCACCTGCAGATACTAAATATAACTTCACTTACAGTATTTTAATTTGGCTGTGAAAGTTAAAGACTTTTTAACCTGTTAACTTTGCAATTAAAATTAACAGGTTGCTATACTCTCTTTAAGGTATTAAAAGGACCCATAATGTGTGTTTTCAAGAAAGTCAGCCTTTGCAAGTTATTTTCGAAAAGAGTACGTGTACTAATGTACTAGTGATTCAACCAAGGTAATGAGTTCTCTGTTCTGGTTTTTTATTTTTCTGAATGTAGTATGGTTACAGAGTAAAGAATTAATGTCCTAGAGCTTTTAAAGATTTTATTTGCTTATTTTTAAAGGGAAGGGAAGGGAGAGAGGAAGGAAGGGAGAAAATATTGATATGAGAGACAAATATCGATAGGTTGTCTCTCGCACACTCCCAGCCTGCCTGCAACCCAGGCACGTGCCCTAACTGGGAACTGAACTGGCAACCTTTTGGTTTGCAGGCTGGCACTCAATCCACTGAGCCACACCAGCCAAGGCTCTGTCCTAGAGTTTTATTCTTAGGATTTTATTTATTTATTTTTAGAGAGGAAAGAAAGGGAGAAAGAGAGAGAGAAAAATATCAATGTGTGGTTGCTGGGGGCCATGGCCTGCAGCCCAGGCATGTACCCTGACTGGGAATTGAACCTGCGATGCTTTGGTTTGCAGCCCGAGCTCAATCCACTGAGCTACACCAGCCAGGGCTGTCCTAGAGCTTTTAAATCAGTTACTTTTTTTAAGCTAACACTGGACTTGGAGAAAGCTCTCACAGAATCGAGAGAGAGAAAGAAAACCTTGTTAAAGATAATAGTGGACCAGCAGTTTTCAATCTTTTTCATCTCACATCACAGATACACTAATTACCAAGATTCTGCAGCACATCAAAAAAAACATTTTTTTTTGCCAATCAAAGGTATCATTTTAATTCATTCACACCAGATGACAATTGTTGTGTTGACTGTTGTCATTTTTTAAAACTAAATAGTCAGGAATTGCATGTCTTAAAAATCTTGCCGCACACCGGTGTGCCGCAGCACATTGCTTGGAAATTGCTGTAATAGATCAAAACTGCATAATGGTAGCAGTAATAATTTAGTGGCCAAGAAAGTTCTAAAAATATTCCATCAGTAGCTTTCTTCATCAAATGATATCAAGAAAAATATATTATCTAAGAATACTTTCCATTTATATGGTGCCTTTTATCTGAGTCTTAGAACATGCAGCATAAGAAAATTTCAGCATTTTTGATGTGAACTGCTTTTGTCCTTAAGTGTTTCCATTTTTCCTCTAGAGAATGAGTCAGTGCACTCGATTTTTCAATGCTAAGCTGTAACATTAAACATTAATTAGTTTGTGAGCCAAAAGGTATTTTATCCTTGTTGTTTTTTTAAATTACAAAAGAAATATGTGCTCTCCAAATGCATCTGCAACTCCTAGAAGATTGCAAAGATTAAAAAATGAGCCCTGGCTGGCGTAGCTCAGTGGATTGAGCGCGGGCTGCAAACCAAAGCATCGCAGGTTCGATTCCCAGTCAGGGCACATGCCTGGGTTGCAGGCCATGGCCCCCAGCAACTGCACATTGATGTTTCTCTCTCTCTCTCTTTCTCCCTCCCTTCCCTCTCTAAAAAATAAATAAATAAAATCTTTAAAAAAAATGAAAGTCTTTCTCCTCCACCTGCCCCCTCTACCCCACAGCAGGGGGAACGTCTGTTAATAACTTGGTGTATATCATTCTAGCTCTTCTCTGTTTATAGCTATTTTGTTAAATTTAGAGCCAATCCCTGTAACTCCTCCCTCCTTATCATTTGGTTATCTCTTTCTCCCACCTCTCAAATTTATGTCACATACCAGATAAATATTTTATATAGTTTTTCATAATATATATCATACATAGATTTTTCAAAGAAAATATCCCATTATTATTATCATTTGGCAATTTGCTTTGTTTAGTTTCTGTGTCAGTTCACCTAAATCAGTCTTATTCTTTTTAACGACTGTGTAAGTTTTCACTGTATGACTTAGCGGTAATTTCCTTACCCTCAGCCCTACAGCAGTCCCCTCCCCTCCCCAGCTGATGCCTGGAACCCGGGATAGTGCCGAACCCTATAGACACTATGTTTTTTCTTAGACAGACATACCTGTGATCAAGTTGAATTTATAAATTAGGCATAGTAAGAGACTAACAATAACGAATAATAAAATAGAACAGTTGTAACAATATACTGTTGCAAAAGTTGTGTGAATGTGGTCACTTGTTTCAGGCGTCCCCTCGCTCAGGACTTCGTGCAAGCTCAGTTCTTTCCGGTGTATCACGTTGCCCTCAGTCGGAATGTGTTTTCTGCTCCTGTCTTCCACCCTCAAATTTAACGCCTTTTCCATCTTAACTAAGGACTTACCATGCACTGTTGGCCAAAAGTTTTGCAGCTTCAGGTGCAACAGCAAGACTAGCAGGAATCTCTTTTTCTTCTTTACAACGTCACAGAAGGTTTGTTCTTACTACTGATCCTTAGTCGTATGCAACCTCAGCATACGACTTTTTTTCTTTATTTAGTAAGTCTAGGAGAACTTTCGCCTTTTCACTTAAAGGAAGCACTGTATGGCTTCCCTCTGGCATATGCGAATTGTCAGCATCGCCACTCTTGCGATTCGGGGATGTTATTACGTAGAATAAGGGTGCCTTGAACACAGGCACCGCGGTGCTCAGCAGTCGAGCTGATGACAACGGGACAGCCCCTGAGTGACTAGCGGGCAGGTAGCACCCACAGCCTGGAGACGCTGGACAAAGGGATGAGTCACATCCTGGGCAGGAGGGCCCCGGATGGCGTGAGATTTCATCACACCACTCACACTGACAAGCAGTTTAAAAACTTACAGATTATTTCTGGAATTTTCCAGTTAATATTTTCAGATCGCAGTTGACTGGAGGTAACTGAAACCCAGAAAAATGAAACCTCGGTTAAGGGTCATTTCCAACTTTTTACTATGTGTGGTAGTAACACAAAAAAGTAGGTTGTTCCAACGTTTTACTACCACAGACAACGCTGCTAGTACCAGGGCAGTGCATTAGTTATCTGTTGCTGTGGAGCAAATTCCCCCAAATCTGGGAGCCTTAGAAAACCAGACATTTATTACTTCACGCTAGTAAGTGCAGCTTGACTGGGCGCAAATGGCTGAAGGTCTCAGGTTGAGGAGCGGTTGAAGTTAAGCCGCCAGCAGGACTGGGCACTCATCTGAAGGTTGTTGCGGGGCGGGGCGGGGGCGGGGGTCACTTCCAAGCTCGCCGACACTGTGGTTGGGAGCCCTCGGAAGATCCGCTTCCAGGCTCGCTCCTGCGGCTGCCTGCCGGTGGACGCCAGCTCCTCTCGGGCAGGCCTCCGTGGAGGCTGCCCACCGTCCTCCCGACAGGGTGAGGAGGGACAGGGAGAGGGAGACTCCCAAGACGGAGTCAGAATCTCAGAACGGCCGTCTTACCACTTCTGCCATTTTCTTTTTGTTAGGAGGGAACCTCATCGGCCCAGCCCGCACTCCAGGGGAGGGGATCATGTAAGGGCAGGAATCCCAGGAGCTGGGGACCCTTGGGGGCCTTCTTCTGGGCTGCCTAACACAGACAGAAATGAAACTGCCGGCTCCAACACAAATTTTAAATTTGCACACGTACTATCAGATTGCTATCTGGAAAGTCTGTACCAGTTTACATTCCCACCAAAAGTGTAGGAGAATCCTTCTGAGTAAAGGATACGATCAATCTTTAAAATTCTTGCCAATATAATAGGTAGAAAATGATATTAGTAGAGTCCTTTGTCATGTCTATTTTATTACTAGGGAGTTTGAGCATCTTTTCATATCTTTATTAGCAATTGGTATTTTTCCTCATTTTGGAATTTCACACTCATGTTGTCAGTTTTTGTATCAGGCTGTCTGGTATCTTGGACAACATCCCCCTTACCACTGGAAAAGTTTCCGATGAACTTGGTAGGTGTTCTGACATCCTGCATCAAGAGACACCGCTGAGCTCGTGTCTGGCATCAGGATGACACCAGCACCACAAACATTCTCAGAATCTGTTTTTTTATCTACTCACGCCTCAGTTTCAAAAGTAGCTCGGAACTTATAATGCAATAATAGGCAGAGGTTGGTTTATCCTGCAGCTTTCACATGTCTCACTAAGAATGTATTTTACTCTTCTCTTGGCCTCTAAATGGAGCTACAATCATTAAATATACTAAAATATAGCAGCTCATATAGAAGAACGAATATAAAGTCCTTTGGGTGAATTTTTCTAAATCTAAGCCAACTAACCTATTTACTTTTAGATTAAGGATTTGAGCTTCATTAGGAAGCTGTTTTCTTTCTGTTTGTTTTTCAAATAATGTGGTATTTTTATTACGTCTCACAGAGTGCTTGCTGAGGCGGCTGTCTTTTTTCCATCGAGTCAAGAGGAAGTCACCCTGGCTGTCACTCCCCTGGAAGTCTGCATGAAGAGTTCTAGTGAGGAATCAGTGGGTGAGTGTCCTCTTTGTCACGTGCTTTGATGTAATATTACTTCCTGGCTTTCTTGACTACTAACCACTCAGTAAATATTGGTGGTATAATATTTATTTTGGTCTAAAAAGCAGTAACATGTAGAAAGATCATTAAATTCCAGTTGTTTTAAAATTAGGAGAATGGTTACAGAGAAAAATACTTTTAAAGTTAGGAGTTCAAGGTCTATTTCTCCTCCTTTATCATACTTTGTACTTAGCATCAAGAAGAATTAAGAGGCCAGCCATTGAGATGATCTTTGACGACATAAGCAAAAGTAAATTTAACTTGGAAATGTAAGGTATTCCCGACAGCAAAAACGTAGGGCAGAAAATGTGAATGCTTCTTAAATCAGTCTCCCAAGAGTTATGGAGATGGTATGGAGAAACTAAGGCATGAGTAAGTCAGGAGTTTTGGTATTAAGAAAATCTTCTTGGGTCTTTTTGGCACAAGTTGTCGAAGACTCTTTGATCTTGTATGATTTTTGTTGGTGATGGCAGTAAAGAAAGTGTACGAAGGGAGGAACCGCGACATTTTCAAGTGAAAAACCGGTAGAACCAGGGATTAAGTTGGGTCAGATGACTTTTGCAGCATTTAGTTGGTGCCAGGTTCGGTTCTAAATGGTTTGCATCTCTGAATTCATTTGATCTTCCTGACAACTCCGTGATGTAGGTACTGCGATGACCCCCATTTTCCGTCTGGAGAACAGGAAGCGGGGAGAGACTAAATGACTCGCGGGGCGGCACACGGGTGGCAAGCGTGGTCGTGGGTCTGAGCACAGGGCCCAAGCTCCCGCCCCCCGCGCCGGGGCTGCGCCTCTCAGACTCCACCCTCCGTTGGGTCCTGGCCCTCAGGAGCGCGGGGCCTGGGAAATGTGAGCTGGACTCGCGGCGGGTCTGTTTATACCCCACGCCCCCGTCTCTGAATAAAGGCGGCCATTTAACAACCAGGAGACACTGTCCCTCCCCGACGACTGTCTAAAACTGTCTAACGAGCAGCTGCAGTCGTGTTTGCCTGGGGACCCGACCGTTTCACCGTGTTCCTGACCTTACTCTCTGCTGATGCCCTGAGAGTGACACGAGCCCTCTTGTTTGAGGTGAATGCATTCGTAAGGTATCGTTTGGTCCTTTAAAAAGTATATACCATTTATCCTGTGTTCTCATACTGACACAATTCATGTTCGCTGGAGAAAATAATTTTTAAAAAAGACTAATAAAAAAATCACTTGAGATCCCACTATCCAGAGACAAGCACCGTTAATGCCTGTTGTATACTTCAGATCTAACAACAGGCGATCGGTTGGGTTAAAGTAATGAAATACTTCAAAGCTGTTAAAAGTAATTGTGTATGTGTATATATACATTCCTTTCTCTCTGAGAGTGCATATAAAAGACATTTATTGAAGCTAATTTGGTAGTGAAAAACACAAAACACCAACACACACAAATAATTAGAAAAATATACTTACCAACATGGAAAAACAGGATATGTTGTTAAATAGATTATGAAGTAGTATGCACAGTATGATTGTATTTTTTAAAATGTGCCTAAACATTGAAGAAAATAACAGGAAACAAAGTTCAATACCTCACTAAGGAAATTGCATACCGTGACCACATGAAATTTGTTCTAGAAATGCAATATTGGTTCAATATTAGAAACTCCAGTAATGTAAAACACTACGTCAGTAGGTTTATGGAAAAAAACATGTATATGATTATCTCCATAAATGCTGAGAGAGCCTCATAAAATGTGTAACATTTATTTTTAATATGAAATGCTAAAAAAATATAGGAATTGATGGGCGCTTTCTTAAAAATAATTAAATGTATATATATTTACATATACCAAAGCCAGTGTCTTAGGAAGACTAATTTCCACTAGGATCACAGATAAGGATACCTACCATCTCCTCTTCTATTTAACACTGTACTAGAGTTATTAGTTAATGCAATTAGAAGAGGCAATCAAAGGCACTAAAAGTATGACCATTTCTGTTTGCAAATGACATGATAATACACCTGGAAACTCTAGAGAATCAGCGATAAAAACTAACTCAGACAATAAAATAACTTAGGCAGCAGGATATAAATGATGAAGAAAATAGCTTTTGTATATACAAACAATATCCAGTAGGAGAACGTAATGTTATCATAGCAACACAGAAGATTAAATACTTAGACATAAACAGTACATTTAATGTAAGTCCGTCCATAGCTATAAGGAAATATTGATGACTCATTGGTAGCTAGAGCTAACAGGCACATGCGAGATTGGGACTTTTAAAGTAAAAATTTGCTTAGCTGAGGGGTTGAAAATAAAGTGTAATTTCTCAAATAGGCTCTACCTATAGATATAGTTGTCGTTCAAGGTCCTTACGTTGCAAGGTTTTGTTAAAAATGCTGAATGATATCTAAGTTACTAAAGATATGAATGAAAAAGAAAACAAAAGATGTGTCAAAATATAATAGTTTTGTTCTATATAAACTATGTTCATAAATAGTAGTTCCCTTTAGAATAAACTTGTGTTTATGGCATCCTGGCTATTTAATCATTTACAACAAGCCACTCCAAAATACAGTGGCTTAAAATAATTTATTCTTACCTCTCGTGGTTCTGTGGGTTGACGCGGCTCAGGCGGGCAGTGCGCACGTGGGGGGGGTCTCTCATGCAGTTGCGGCTGGCGCTGGGGCTGGAGTCACCTGGAGACACCCGAGATGGTTCGCTGCCAGGGCCGGTGGTCGGTGCCCGGAGCTCGGCTGGGTTGCTAGCCAGGGTGCCGGCTCACGTGCGGCCTCCTCACTAACTTGGACTTCCTGTAGCATGGAGTCAGCGTGGTGGCTGAGCTCCAAGAGCAGGAGTTGCAGGACAGAGAAGGAGGGGGACAGACGTGGAAGCTGCTAGTCTCCAAAGGCCGGGGCTCCGGAACCAGCACCAGGTCACCGCCCGTGCAGTCCTGGGCAAAGCAGCCAGAGCGCCCGCCCACCCGGATTCTGGGAAAGGGCAGGGGGACAGAGGCCCCAGCTCTCAGTGAAGGAACGGCAAAGAATTTATGGCTATTCTAAACCTATCGCTTAGGTTATATTTTTATATTCAAATTTAAGAAATACCTCTGGAACTAATTTTATTCCTTATTTTCCTACACTGTTAAACAGATTTGAACAATTCTGTGCACAGTGAGATGTTTGTGGGTCCAGCTGAGTTTGACTTCTTTCAAATTGGAATCGACACTGAAATAACATTTTGCTTCAAAGAACTGAAGGTAAAGAAACATTTGCACCAAATTAAAATTTTCACTGGGAGTTTTAAAGAAAGCCTTCACTTTCTTCTTCTTCTTTTCCTTTCAGGGAGTCCTGTCGTTTTCAGAAGCTACACGTGCTCCTATATCCATTTATTTTGATTTTCCTGGGAAGTAGGTTCTTGGGAACTTTTCTGAATTTGTTTCCTTTTCTTTTGTTAGATATCAATAATGAAATCATGTGAATCACTTCAAGATTAATTCACACCTTCTTAACCTTAAGGAGGTCCTTAACCTTACTAGAAACACTTAAACTAAAATTTTTAAAGATGTCATAACATGGTGTTTTTTAAAATGGTAACTTGATTGAGAAGGACATATGCTTCTGCAGAGCGCAAACATTTATACATTTGACGTGAATAAGTTGCTTAACTAGAAAATGATACATGGCTTAACCGGGTTAAATCTCTGTGAAACTATGATACTTTATATGGTATTTCAGGACGGAAATTCCAAGTGAGATTGGGTCAGGGTAGATGTGTTTTATGGAATCGGATCTGGTGATTTCTAAGGGCCATTTCAGCTCTTAGGACTGTGTTAATCTGTGAGAAGACATAAGAACTTTTCTGTTTTTCTTTCACACCTGAATTAGGTATTGTTTTCTAGTGTTTCCTAATGCCCACCAGAAAATGATTGTTCTGTGTGCTCTGACTTTCCTTTTTAGACCAGTGGCTTTAAGTATTGATGATATGTTACTGGAAGCCAACTTTATTTTGGCTACATTGGCTGACGAGCCAAGTAGACCGTCTTCTCCGCAATCGTTGTGTCTTCCAGAAAAACAGAAGAGGTAAGGCTATGTTCCAGCATCTTTACTGGTTGGGGAAAAGCCATTACAGTCTATTCAGAAGTAATTCAATGGCACTCATTCAGGAAACAGCTGAGGAGTAGAACATTAGATCGGAAATTCTGACGGGATCAGGAAGAGCTGCAGTAAAACCTGACAGGAACAGAAATGTCACCAACCTTGCTCTAGGTATTTGCTCTCTCTCTTCTGGTCAGAATTGAACAGGACTCTCCGATTTGCCTTTGTGAATACCTCAAACTCGTTTCCATCTGGAATAGTTGCTTTTTAGGAGTGATACAGTGTTCAGGTTCAAAGGAATGTCTATTCACACCTAGAACGCGCTTTCTCAAAGGGACAGCCATTGTTTTCCTTTTTTCTTTTGTCTCTTGATAACTTTTTTTTTTTGGTGTGGGTGGGGGTACTTCAACTGTTGAACCAGCATAACGTTACTGTGGGACGTTTGGAAAATACAGAAACGTGCAAAGAAGAAAGTCAACATCGCCCACAAGTGTACTCTAGACATAGCCGCTGTTAACATTGGCGCGCTCCATTTCCTTCCAGACTTTTAATTTTGCATACGCTTGCATTTTTAAACAAGACTGACATCAAATAGCATATGTAGCTTTTTATCCTGCTACGGATTATGGCTTGAAAACGTGATCTTTAATGACTATATGCAATGTTGTCGTACGTATGTATAGTAACTTATTTGACTGTTTTTCTAACTTGGCCCCGTTACCATTATCACAAGACTGTGTCATGCACACCAGGTTGTTTACTGAAAAATTCTCATCTGTAGAGAGAATTTCTAAATAATCATGTATGTACATCTTAACCTTCAAAACAGGTAGTTCCATATTATTTCAGTATATGCCCTAAACCAGTGTTATCATTGACATACTATATTGCTCTATTAGTTATATAAAAATATACGCTTCAAAGGAAACAGTCCATTCATTCAATCCCTGTTAACACCTCAGGTCAGATCTGGAATGTTCAAATGCAAAGGCTTGTGAGAAAGACAGCGGGACCGCGGAGCACGTGTCAGGAAGGGCAGCGCCCAAAAGGCTCCACCCTGACGGGACTCCCGGGAACACGTCCACGCCGGGAAACTGGGGCAGTCCTCTGGCCAAAAGAGCGAATGGGGACACCAGTGAGGCGCCCGGAAGCAGCGTCAGCCCCACGGAGGAAGAGCCAGGGTCTCCGCAGCTCGGGAAGGTAAAGACAAACGTTGAGACACGACCACCACGGCTCAGTCAGGAGCTCCCATCACCCTCCCCCCTTTGCCGTCTCCCTCCTCCCGCCCACCCACGATGCACTGAAAGTCCATTGGCAGTGGAGGGTGAAGCCAGTCTGAGGCGGAGAAGAGAGTGACTTATAGAATGTTAATACAAAGTGGTTAAATTGCTCATTGAGTAATTTCTTGTTTTCTGTGAGTTTTTTGTTTTTTTGCTTTGTCCCTTTACCTGAGTAATTTCTAACAAAGTATATTCAAGCAGTGGTTGAGATCGCTTGTTTTCGAGAATAAATAATTGCTTATAGCATACTTATATTTATTTTTTGTCACCTCCCATTTTTCTGATTTTATTTATTTTTAGAGCGAGGGGAAGGGAGGGTGAAACAGAGGGAGGGAAACACGAGTGTGCGAGGGATGCATTGTTCAGGTGCCTCGCACGCGCCCCCAGCTGGGGACCTAACCCACAGCCCACGCCTGTGTCCGACTGGGAATCCAACTGGCCACCTCTCGGTTCGCAGGCCGCCACCCAATCCACTGAGCCACACCAGCCAGTGCGCATACTTACATTTAAATACATATAATAAGCTAGTCGTATAATTTGTTTTCTAAAATAAATGTTCTTCTAATTTTATTTTATTGAAGATTTTACTTATTTTAGAGAGGGGAAGGGAAGGAAAAAGAGGGGGAGAGAAATATCAATGTGTGGTTGCCTCTCGCATGCCCCCTACTGGGGACCTGGCCTGCAACCCAGGCATGTGCCATGACTGGGAATCGAACTGGTGACCCTTTGGTTCATAGCCCATGATCAATCCACTGAGCTACACCAGCCAGGGCTCTAATTTTATATTTCAAATTTGTTTGGAAAACCCTTTATTCATAATGGTACAATATAAATTTTATCCCCCAAACAGCACAGATATCCCCATTCATAGAGGAGTCACAGTAAATAACATATCAGTATACCAACCTTTTATTAGATTGATGATGAGCTCCACAGAATGCTAACTAACATTAAGCCTTATGAAATCTATTGAATTGAAGATAAACACAATTTACTGGAAACAGAGGCATCATTGGGAAATGATGATAGTCCCAATTTTACATTTACATTAATGTCTCATTCAAGTCTGTTTTGCTATTGCTATTATTATTGATTTGGAAATATGAGTTCCTTAGAGTTAGAAATTTGGAAGGAGAGATATTTCTTCTAAAGGTAGTGACAGAAATAATCTGTATATTAAGTCACTATACAGAAGACTTTTTAGGACAGCGAGCCTGGATCCTGGGGCAGGGGATGTGGTGTGCACAAAGGCCCCGCGAAGGAGGGAGCGTGGTGGTTTCAAGGCACTGAAGGCCGGCTGGCCGGGCGGGCGGTGGAGAGCAGAGAGCCGGGGGAACGATGGCGCAGGGTGAAGCTGGAGCACCTGATGAGGGCCAGATCATGCCAGAAGGGTCCTGTAGGCCATGTGAGCAGCCGTATGAAGTATCTTGGCATTTAGAGTACTCAAGGGGTTTTAAGAGGGAGGGCTGACAGAGTTGATTTTTTAAAAGATAACTCTAGCTGCAGCAACTGTATAAATGGGGTACAGTGAGGCAAGAATGGAAGCTCAGTTGTAGCATCCAAGAGATGAGACGGTGATTCCTTAGAGATGGAGAGAAGGGGCCGAAGTAGACAGCTACCTGAGGAGGTAAAGGTAACATGACTTGGGGACGTTGGTTATGCGGGTTAAGGGGCCTCGAGGTATCCAGGATGCTACTCACATCTAGTGGTGAGAGGCCAGGGATGCTGCTCGAATCCTCCCGATACACAGTACGGTCCCCACAACAAAGAATCGTCAGGCCCCAAATGTCAGTAGTGCTGAGGCTGAGAACCCCCGATTCAAGGCCTGCATAGAGGAGGGCAAGCACACTGAGCTAAGTCTAAGAGCGACCAGGAGAGCGTGGCGCGAGGCAGGTCCAAGAAGAGTGTCTCAGTATCAAGCGGCATGAAGACTGAAGATAGTCATTGGCTTAAGCATGTGATGGTATTTGGTGACCAGAGTAGGAAGTTCTGTGAAGTGGTGGGGTCAGGAGCTTTTTTTTTTCCTTTTTTTTTAAGATTTATTTATTTATTTATTTTTAGAGAGGGAGGGGAGGGAGAAAGAGAGAGAGAGAGAGAAACATCAATGTACGGTTGCTGGGGGCCATGGCCTGCAACCTAGGCATGTGCCCTGACTGGGAATCGAACCTGCGATACTTGAAGGAGCTTTTTTAGATAGGACTGAACAGGAGCATGAGAAACTGGAAATAAGTGTAGAGAAAAGCAGAGGTGGGGCAGGGAGGGAGGAATGGGGTGGTGGTGGTGCTCTTCATATATTTTAAAGATGAGAGACATTATTGTAAAATGCTGATACTCCTCTCCAGTAGAGGGGAGGCCTGGGAGGGGCTATGAGGCCGACAGGGAGGAAAGGACAGGCTTTGGCTGAGAGGGGTAGCGTCTGTAGCAGGGGGAGGGAAAGGGAAGCTGGGAGTCAAGCAGAGTGGCCGGCAGGATCTGCCTTTGTCTGCCTCCCACAGCCCTGGCGCATGTTTAAATGGCTCGGGCAGGGGAGTCCGAAGCAGATTACTGACCCCAAACTGTGTGCCTCTGGGGAGGGGTGGGTCCAGTGGCAAGGCTCTGGGTGTTCCATGAGCCAGCACCATCCAAGCTCGGGAGACCACACTGGCCAGGTCTCCGAAAAGGGGCTGTTTGTTCCCTGGAGCATTTCCTGGGAATTCTTACTCTGAATCAACAGTGCAGTTACTTTTTCCCCCCAGTTCTCTTCCATGTTCTTTGGAGCAGTTTCTTCCGACCTGCAAGAACACTGCGACAACCCTTTCGACAGTCTGGCAACAGCGAGTGACAGCGAAGAGGACATGAATGGCAGTTTTTCCATATTCTAACCCTTATGACAGCTGAGTTGCCCACCACCCTCCGATTTAGTGGCTCATACCTCAAACCTGTTTTCACACTTAGTCTACAAAAACGTTGTCTTGGACTTCCTTGAAATGCAGGATGGGCTTCTGCTTTTGCAAACATCATCTCATGCAACAGCCGTTATCTAGAAATAGCTGTTTGTCAAGTGTGTATGTTTTTATGCTACTTAGGAGGCAGTAGTTTTCTGCGCAGGGAAAAGTTTTGTTGCAATTCTTCAGCTCAATGCATGTTCACATGGGAGCTCTTAGTACCTTCTCTGCCCGTTTTATAAAGGTATTTAACTCCCTTCAGCAGCCACTTGGAGTGTGTCGACACTGCTTTAGGGTTCTGTGACTGGTAGTCAGGCATCTTTGTATTTGATTGCAAACACTGGAGTTTGGTGCTTTCAGACATGGTAAAATTTATGCAGTCTTGTCTCATGTAATAGTTGACCTGTTTGTCCATGGCTTTTTGTACTTTGTTAAGATTTTAAGTAAAATTAACCCCTGGGGAAAAAAGGTCAAGAGTAAAAATACATAGCTACCCCCTTCACTTTGGAGTGTTTTTATATAATTTTACTTGATAGCCTTAAATTATCGATTTTCAGATGTGATTTCCTACAGTGTGGTGCAAAAAAGAGTTTAATGGAAGGATGCCAAATTTATTTCTGTATGGTCTGGCATTGATCACTAACCCCCACTGTCAAGACAGCCCGGTCTGGCGTGGAGGGAGGTGGAAGACGAGTGCCTCTGTTCTTTGCCTCTTTAAGAATCAGCTTGTTACCTGCATGGCCTGAACAATCTGGCACAGAAACACTGTTATGTAATGTCTTATGCTGCACGCCTCCCCCTCCCCCAAACCTGTCTACAGCCATAACCTGACAAACGAGACTCCTGTAACATCTCATTGTTGAGTCTTTGCGAAGACATCAGGTCCCGAGGAAATGTTAACCGGCAGGCAACTGTACTTTAGATTTTGTGTGGAACTCATAAACAAAGGTGGCTGAATAGATCGGTAAGCTTTAGAACTGTGAACAGACTTCTAAAACCAGAGTGAATTTGGCTCTTGTAGCTCAGTCATGAGTCAGAGCTACCCACAATAACCTAATAAAAACCCAAGTGCATCCCAAAATGTTCCTCAGTGAATGAAAATGGGCTTTCACCGAGCTTTTTGTGGAAACTGGCAATGCCCACATAACTTCAAGAGGTCCTTGCACACGTAGGCTAAAGACATAATGTATCTTACGCTTACACTGATGATGAACACTGAATTTCACATATCCCTAGCAACGGCAGACTACGCAGAGCACGTTCACGTGTGAGTGACTGCAGTCTCCTTGCTGAGGAGGACACTCTGGTTCGCCCATGGAAAGGGGCAGGGGGCAGAGACCTGGAGGCGTCATCAGTAACTGCCTGGGTGTAGCACTGGTCTGTAAAAGATAGTCCCACTGTTGATTACACTGCATTTAATTTGGATTTTAGAATTCAGAATTTTGGATTTCAGAATGCTAAATTTAAATGACACCAGATTTTTCTGTGATTTACTTCATACCACATGGACGATACAAAAGCCGCCTCAGCTAGGAGACCACATGTGTTTTACATTCAATTATCAGCCCATTCTGATGAACTTTTGAGAAAGCTAAACTGCTGTAATAAACCAGCTGGTGAAAAGAGCTCAGGCAGATAAACTAGTAAAAGACAAAACAATAGCTATACAGTACGGAGTCACTGCTACACTAGTTGACTAAGGGGCTTGGAAATGTGGACTTGATAGCGACCAACACACTCAACATCCACACTCAACATCAACAGCTGGTGTCTTAGTTACTATTCAAATTTAAAAAAGTACACAGATTAGTATAAATACTATATTTATTAAATATCTTTACAGTTTATTTAAATGTATTTACAGAACTATTCCTGCATAAGTTATATTTCAGACATCCAATTCAGATCATTGCCTCTTAGGTAAGACAAATAATGATAGTCTTAAAACAGAAAAAAGCAGCTCATTAGTATACACAAATTCAAACCTGCTTCATTATTTAGCCATCTTTGCCACAAACTACCTGCTAACGGTTAAAATTTTGACATGAACACTGTCAATTTTTAGTTGGGAAGTTCAATTTTACAAATTGACTTAATTTTTTATGAATAAAATCCAAATTTTTTTGCTTTATAATTTCAGTTTTATAAGCAGATTTTTTTTGGTATTGTAAAATTTGTTAAATGCTAAAATGTATCATTTCTAGGAAAATTGGATGCTGTAGCTTCCACCAAAGATAGCTGGTATAAGGTGACAAGGAGCCAAGAACTTATTACCGTTCTAGCCAATCTTGTTTACAATCTCTACAACGCTCAACACTGACTCAGTAAATTCCTACAATTCCTGCTTTGTTACTTGATGTGGTAGGTTGGTGGTACTGAAGGTGGTACTGAAGGCTACTGTTCTACCCAGAACACATGCGGCTGGTAGGAGAGACACTCCCATCACGCAAAGCTTGAAATCTAGTTGCTAATCTAGACACAGCCGGACCCCCAGACGCGCACACCTGGAATGGATTCTTTTGTGACATAGTACCCATCAACCATGTCAAGCCAGCACAGTAATTCAGGACAAATAACTCATTCCCCCCCATCATTTCTTCTTTCCGTTTTTAAGAGCCTATGGGCTCTACTGCTTATCTGTTGGGTAAATTTTTTTTTTGTGCGCAGGCAGCTTAAGTTCACAGGAAGAAATAAGGTTCTGATATGTTTAGAGTGCACATTTTAAAACAGAACAAAATAAAAATTTCAAGCATGTGATAAAAATATTGATTTTTTTATAATACAGTATTGCTTTATAAATATAGATGGAAAAGCTATAAACTTTACTGGTCTTTGGTGCATCCAGAGAGGGATAAATAATTTGCCATTTGTAAATTAGAAATCCAAATTCTTCTTTTGTTATAAAAGTCCATCACATGAGGCGTGTGTGTGTGTTGCTTTATACTGATTGATTTAAAATACAGTTCACACACACATCAGGTTCAGAATCAGACACACCAAGTGGCATATGTCAAGTCACACCCCAGAGACTCGGGTCCTGTGAGCTGGAGAATTTCAGCACGGGTCCCACACGGCCTCTGACACTGGGCGTGGAAGGAGAGTTCTCGGTGAGCAGCACTCTGACTGACCACTGGCGGTCATAAAATTAAGTGCATAACACGAACAGGACAGGGAAAAGAGAAACTGTTTTGTGTACAAATCTACAGGCCAGGTCCAAAGTCAGTTCCACTGTGAAACTCAATTCTTGTCCCACTAATTTCAACGTCACTGGAACAAACATATTGTTGATTTCTTACGATCATTTCTCAAAAAGGTAAGTTGATTAAATGAGTTGTGTTAAAACACCACCAATCTAGCTTTACAAAGATTGTGTCTGACGAGTTAAATGAGAGCAGAGAAAAGCCACCGACTTAACCAGCTCTACCAGGAATCAAATGTAGGCATTGCAAAATTAATGCAAAACATATCCAGATCATTGGTTACAAACCTCTGACCAGAAATAATTAAAAACCCAATAAAAGAACTAATGTCGTCAGCCCAAGTATAAATGTACTCCTTCACACAAAACCCTTCTGGATGCAACTTTCTTTACTTTTTAAATACACAGAGACTGCAAATATTTTGTGCAAAATAAATACCCCGCCACTTGCCACTCTGGCTTCCATGTTTTGTCACAGCTCGATGGGTTCTTGTTATTTAAACAGTCTCCCTCCACAAACCCCGCTCCCCACCCAGTCTCCTCTACCAAAGAACTGTTTTGTCAAGTTAGGGTAGTTAAGGCATTCTGACATGTAATTAAAGGTGATTCAAAATAGATATCTAACATTATGCCAATTTAGGAATAGTAGATAAATTACGGAACAGCTTACAAATGAATAACTCATTCTTATTATAAATGAAATGCCTGTTACAAGCATGATGCATTGAAATATAGTAATGACATGTACATGGTACATGTTAAACAATTTTAAATAAAACAAAAGCTTGACAGTTACTCAAATATACAGTACAAATTCACAAAACAAAATCTTTAAAACAAGTTGAGGTAACCTCAAACATAAGTTTTGATGCAATAAACCAGGGAGTAAGTATCTCCTTTAGAGACACTTTCTATATTCTCCTCAAGTAGATTCTCATCAGGTTTAATTGCATTCTCATCTATACACCAATGTTACCTGACTTATATATAAAACATGGCTTTAATTTAAGGATTGCTAAGTATATATATTTTTCTACCACCAAGTTAATGAAGGAAAAAAACTGACCCCAAAAGATATATCTTTACAGCAGTTGACTTGTACAGAAACCTTAAAAATAAGTTTGAGCTTGCAGATAATGAGAAAACTGAATGCGGGATACTTAAACTATACACTGCAAGATGGCTATTCGGAAACTGTAAACATTAAGCTTGATTCAGAAACTCCTAAATTTCTGTGTAGGGCAAATGCAAACATCAGAGCATCACTAGTTTTCCTCGTGGACGTCTGTGCTGCCGCCACTGCCCACGGCACCCTTCCCACACGGACTCCTGAATTTGGTGCATGCTCATCTACGGAAAGCAGGCTACTAACGAAAGGTCTGAGTGAAACCAGAAGTAGCATGACCATCAAAAGCCCCAAAGCTCAAAGAAACAGCTGTCCGTTTTCAACCCATGAGGCCTGCAGGCCTAGAGCTCCCACGAGGGGGCATCACAGCAGACGGCTGGGAGGAATTTCAGCCATAGCATTAAGTTTCTTGGCTTTGAGGAGTTTACAATCTTGAGTAATAGTCCCACTAAAAAATTTCGGTAGAGTTCCCCCACCCCTCCTGCGGATTAGGCCACCAGCCTGTGATTTGGACTAATCAATAAACTCCCAAAACGCTGACCACAGGATCACAATTAGGTATCTTTTAAAAACCATGAAACATTTGCATCCAGAGAATTAAACTGGATTTTT